TTTTAACTTTTGTAAAATAAAACCTGCAAGTGCCTGTTCTTATCAGTAGTACTGTACAAGGTGGTATTAATGACTTTTGGGCTTTGTTGATCAGTTTAGGGTAATGAGACCTTATATCTAACCAAAACACTTGCTAGCAAGCATTCTTCAAATCTCAGTTTTAATGAGGTGTCATTTTGTTCCCTGGAAGACAGAGCTAGCATTATTGAATTATTAAATCCTCATTAAATGGTTTTCTAAACCCATTGTTGCTGAAAGTGAAAATGGAAAAATGACATAGAATACTTACAGTCACATTCCTACTAATGAGTTTTTGCAAATTGTATTACCAGGACAGGATTCACAGAAGGCTTATTATAGTGTATATATGTGATATTGGGTGTTAGTCTATTTGGAATTTACCATGCCTGTTTTACTCTATACGTCTGTGATTCAAGTTTTCCCTTGTATCTTTTACTCTGGCAGAATTACTGTAAAGCTTGTATATAATATGCCACAAGGACATTTGGCCTGAATGTGCTCTGCACACAGCTGTAGAAGCAGCAGTAAAAGTTTAGTAACAGTGTTTATTGAGATAGTGGTTACTTACAATCAGAATATTTATCATTATTTTTAGTTTATCTCTGAAATGAAAATGTGTACTTAATTCTTAGTTTCCTCCTCCTTTCTGATATGATTGTGATATAGTAAAGTAGTAATTTAGCAGATATTTTTCTGAGCATTATGTAGGGATTCATAATTCAAAGAATATGCAAAACAAAACATGCCCTTCCCAGGGTAATGTAAGATACCTTAATGACAAACTATAAATATATGGATTTGTGCTTATCCTGAAGCATGCAGAGGGATGTGGGAACAAATTAAAAGGAGTTGAATAGGCTTTTAAAGGGTAAGAGGCTGAAGATGGTTTGTTTAAATCAGGCAGAGAGAGGATATATGTAAAGACCAAGGTTATAAAAAGATAGATCATAATGATAAGAAATTTTTGATCCTTAAAAGTCTTTTTTATTTTAATTTTATTGTTAAGATAATGTACAGAGGGATTACAGTTGCTTAAGTAAGGTAGTGAGTACATTTCTTGTCAAACTTGTTATCCCTTCCCTCATTTTTCTCTTTCTGCCCCTGCCACCCCCTTATAAGTCTTAATTGAACAGAAGATGTTTGTTTAGCACTTAACCTCATATATACTGGAGCATCCATGTTGATTTTAGACCTTAAGAGTATTGATGGCAGGATTTTTTAGACAGTTGCAGTTACTGCATTGTATTATAATGATCTGCATAAGTACTCAAAGCTTTTGGTGGAGTAACTGATGAAGGTAATGCTTAGAAACACAATTGAGGGGCCCAGAAGGTGGCTCAGTGGTAGAGTGCTTGCCTTGCATGCATGAGGCCCTGTGTTTGATTCCTCAGTCCCACATAAGCAGAAAAAGCCGGAAGTGGTGCTGTGGCTCAAGTGGTAGAATGCTAGCCTTGAGCTGAAGAGCTGAGGGACAGTGCCCAAACCTTGAGTTCAGGCCCCACGACAACAAAACAAAAAACAAAACACAATTGACCAACTACTCAAGAGTAAGGACATTCAGGGGAGGAGGATAATAACATCTTGTGGTAGGGTCTTAATGTTTTCTGAATCACAGACCACTTTGTTCTGTTGAATTCTATAGAACTTCTTGAAAATGCAAGTATGTGCAACATTTGGCTTTTAGTTTCATGGGATTCATGTATTCTGAAGCCAGTCCATAAATTCCTAGGTCAAAGTCTTTCCCTAGGAAATTGCACTCGGTGAATTTACACTTACCACCTAATATCAATATGAATAACTACTGTCTCTTGTAACTGTTTAAATAGGTTTATGGTTATGTCTTTTTCTTGTACTTTTGTTGTCGTGGTGGTTTTTTTTTTTTTTGCTTATTCATTTGTTTGTTCTTTAAGGTGAGATCTTACTATATAGCTCAGGATGGCCTCTAGCTTACAATCACCTTATGTAGTCTCCAAGATCCTAGAAAAGTACAAGAGTGTATCACCACTCCTGGGTCTCTTGTACTTTTCTTGAGTTTCCTTCATACTTGCAAAGAGTTAAGTCAGATAGTTGAATTGTTTATGAAGAAAGAATTTTTTTCTAATGGTTATGGCAAAACTTTGCTGGCCTGTTAAAGGTGGGGTGGGGAAGGATGCCCATGACTCATAATCCTAGCTGCTCAGGAGGCTGAAGTATGAAGGATTGTGCTGTGAAACCAGCCTGTACAGAAAAGTCTGTGAAATTCCATCTCCCATTTACCAACAGCAAGCAAGACTGGAGATTGTTTCTAGTAATAGAGCAATAGCCCCTGAGTGTAAACACACACACACACACACACACACACACACACACACGAAACATACAAAAAGATAATAGACTAGAGTATAAATTGGGCCAGCAACTAAAAAGTAGCTGCTTCAGGAAAATCTGACATTTTTGTCAGTTCAGTAGTTCCAGGACCGCCTTCTGGTATAGTGATTTGGTAGAAGGATTTATAAGACTCAGAAAAGCTATTATAAGTTATAACTATGGTTTATTACAGTGAAAAGATACAAGGTTAAAATCAGCAAAGGTGACTTCTTCCACTAGCATATCGTTTTTGTGCTGGTCCTGAGGCTTGAACTTGGAACCTGGCTATGTCTTTGAGCCCCCCCCCCCCCCCCCCCCCGGTTGTGGGGCTTGAACTCTGGGCCTGAGCACTGTCCCTCAGCTCTTCAGCTCAAGGCTAGTGCCCTACCACTTGAGCCACAGCGCCACTTCTGGTTTTTTTTCTTTTTGCTTATGTGGTGCTGAGGAATCGAACCCAGGGCCTCAGGCATGCAAGGCAAGCGCTCTGCCACTGAGCCAACTTCCCAGCCCCTCTCTGAGCTTTTTTTACTCAAGGCTAGCACTCTTATCAGTTGAGCCACAGCTCCCCTTCTGACTTTGTTTGGTGGTTAGTTGGAGATAAGAGCCTCATGGACTTTTCTGCCCAGGCTGCCTCTGAACTGTGATTCTGAGATCTCAGCTCCTAAGTAGGTACTATTACAGGCATCTAGTTCTTCCTTTTCTTTAATAATGACATGTGACAGCACATGGTGTTACCTGCACCTTGGTGTCTAGAGTTATTACTAAGAGGTCAGTTATTGTTTTAATCAGATTTTTCATTGCTGTTAGAGTATACCTGACAGAAGCAATATAAGGCAGGAAGGATTTATATTGCTCATGATTTTAGAGGTTTCTATCCATCATAGCAAGGAGAGGGTGGCAGAGCAGAGCCACTACATTATGTTAACCACGAAAGAGAGGGAGGGAGAGAAAGGCTTTCTCCTTTCTTCCATAGGGGGCCCTACCCCAACAGCAAAAATAGGTAATCACATCACTGGTATAAATTAACTTATTGAATTGATACTACAAGCCAGGCCCTAAGGCAGACAGAAATATTCTTATCAAGGATAATATTCCAGAGATTCAGAAATTGTCCCAGGAACTCGTCAAGGCCAGTTTTAAAGACAAGTCTTTTTTGGGAATGTATAGAATTGAGCAGCTCAGCCCTTCTGAGTTGAACAGTAAATGTTCAGGGAGTTGCTATGCTCCTGACCTGCAGTCTGCTTAGCTGCTTCTTTTGTAGATGTAGTGGACCTCCTCTTGTTTCATACTAGAGACCCCATTCCATACACGCAGGGTTTTCCCTTTCCCATGCCAGTGAGTAGTCATTTGAAAGTCTTACTGGATTTAGGGACATATCTTTTGCTTTGTAGCTTCAGGAAACCACAGTGAAATATAAGTACCCATGTGCTATCTATTTAACAAGTTTTTTTTTTTTTTTTAAATGCTGCTGTGTATTAGACCTAGTGTTAGATGGTAGATTTAAGGAATGATTGACATATGTCCGTGGCCTTAAAGAACTTAGATTCTTACTGGGGAAAGTATTGTACTTCAGGGCACACTCATTAGAGAGCATGGCTGAGGGAGTGTGTATCTATATAGATGAGATGTTGGTAATAATTAAACTATCCTAAAGGGGTCATTTCTGCAGTGATTCATAAAATTTTAAGTAGCTATAAATGGACCTATATTCTCCAGTTGTGGCTATGTTGTGTAGGTGATTGGAATGTAAATGAATTGCTACTGATATAGTCTGCTTGACTTCATTCAGTGATAGTGACCCCAAGCTAGCTAGAATATATGAATTTCTCAATAGTTTGCACAAAGACAAATAGAAAGTGTTTGGCCCAATGTGCATTACTACATGACCATAAATCCACTAAATGGCATTTCCAATCTACAGTGTGTCTTGTGGTAGTGTTTTCACACATTGCTCCTCAGTTGGGGTATATGTGAATTACAGTTTTGGGAGGTGTAATCATTAAAAAATGTAACCATTAAAAATGTACATTGTTTCAAGTGGGAGGGCAAATACTTGTTATACCTCAACAAAATTTTATATGACAGTTTTTGTTTTCTGTACTTAGAAGCAAAATACTTAGGAAATACTTGGGGTGAAAATTTCACTTATTTCCTTGGGTTTCTGCAAAATTTCACTATATTTCCTTGGGTTTCTACAGATACATGACTCCCAGCAGAATTTGGATACTCTAAGAGTAATGGAGAGTTTTGTGTTTTGAACAGTGAATGCCAATTGTATGATAATAGGTTCAAGAATATATTAACAGCTGGGTGCTTGTTGGTCACACCTGTAATCCTGGCTACTCAGGAGGCTGAGATCTGAGGATTACAGTTCAAAGACAGCCTGGGTAGGAAACTCTGTGAGCCTTCATCTCCAGATAGTCACCAAAATGCGGGAAGTGGACTATGGCTCAAGTACTAGAATTCCAGCTTTGAGTGAAAAGCTAAGGGTCAGTATCCAGCCCCTGAGTTCAAGCCCCAGTATCACCACACAAATACAAAAAACATATATTAACAGAATAAATGTTGGATAATTTCACACTTAATCTTGCTTTTTTTTTTTTTCCCCTAATGAAGTCTTGTTCTCTTTCTAGCATTACAGTGTTTCTGCCACCTATGTACAAAAGACAATTTCACCTGTGTGACGGATGGGCTCTGTTTTGTCTCTGTCACAGAGACTACAGATAAAGTTATACACAATAGCATGTGTATAGCTGAAATTGACCTAATTCCAAGAGACAGGCCATTTGTATGTGCACCCTCTTCAAAAACTGGAGTTGTTACAACAACGTATTGTTGCAATCAAGACCACTGCAATAAGATTGAACTCCCAACTACTGGTAAGTCATTCTGTAACATTTTTATTTTCTGTATAAGAAAGCTTTTAGACTCTAAATATTATTTCAGAACTGGAAGGGATTTAGAAATTACCTAGTCCAACTTGTTCAAGGTAGAGGAAGAAGTTACTTGATTGTATTACAGATAAGAGTAAACATGAGCCGTGCACTGGTGGCTCACGCCTGTAATCCTAGCTGCTGAGGAGGCTGAGATCTGAGGATCACGGTTCAAAGCCAGCCCGGGCAGAAAAGTCCATGAGACTTATCTCCAATTAACTGGAGATAAACTGGAAGTAGTTCTGTGGGTCAAGCTAGAGTGTTTGCCTTGAGCTGAAGAGCACAAGGAAGCCCCAGAGTTCAAGCCCCACGACCAACCAAAAAAGGAAAAAAGAGTAAACCTGATTTTGACTACTGGATATGCATTAAAGCAGGTAAATAGCCTTTTAAAAGTGAGCTTTGATGAGTCCCACAGAACAGTATGTCCTTAGGGATATCCTTTTTTTCCCCCTTAGAGTGAATCTCTTTAGTTTTCTCTCTCTCTGTCTCTCTCTGTCTCTCTCTCTCTCTGTCTCTCTCTCTTTCTCTTTCTCTCTCTTTCTCTCTCTCTCTCTTTCTCTCTTTCTCTCTCTCTTTCTCTCTTTCTCTCTTTCTTTCTTTCCTTCCTTCCTTTCTTTCTTTCTTTCTTTCTTTCTTTCTTTCTTTCTTTCTTTCTTTCTTTCTTTCTTTCTTTCTTTCTCTCTTTCTTTCTCTCTCTCTCTCTCTCTTTCTTTCTTTCTTTTTTTTTTTTTTTTGCCAGTCCTGGGGCTTGAACTCAGGGCTTGGGAACTGTCCCTGAGCTTCTTGCTCAAGGCTAGCATTCTACCACTTGAGCCACAGTGCTACTTCCAGCTTTTTCTGTTTATGTGTTACTGAGAAATCATATAACTCATCCTTCTCATGCATACAAGGCAAACACTCTACCACTAAGCCCTGTTTCCCTGCCCCTGTTTTCTTTTATTGTATGGTTCTACTTTATTTACTTATTTTATTTTTATTACAGAGGAGTTACAATTACATGGGCAAGATAACGAGTACATTTCTTATCAAGCATTGTTGCCTCCTCATTTCCCCTTCCCATACTCCTCCCTTCCCCCCACCCAATCATCCCCCCACTCCCCACCAAAGTTGTTAAGTTCATTTTTCGACCTAACGACTTGTACATCTCATTGTTGCAATGGGTCCTGATTCTACTTTTTAAATCAGCTTTTAATAGGAAGAGATTAACAGCAGCACTGAACAGTCTAGATGCATTTTTTTTTTTTTCTCTAAAGATGCTTTTTATATTTTTTGGTTGGTCATGGGGCCTGAACTGTGGGCCTGGGCTCTATCCCTGAACTCTTCAGCTCAAGGCTAGCGCTCTACCACTTGAGCCACAGGTGCCACTTCCGGCTTTTTCTGCTTATGTGGCACTGAGGAATCGAACCCAGGGCCTCATGCATGCAAGGCAAGCACTCTACCACTGAGCTACTTTCCTAGCCCTCTAAAGATGCTTTTAACTTTGTAGTTTCACCTTATTTATGACCTTTACATATAAACTAACTATATATGATTGCTAACTCTTTTTTTTTTGGTTTTTGTTATCAAAGTCTTAGTAGAACCAGCACTTTGAAGACTTCATTGAGTCTTAGGACTGGATTAATTTTAAAGTTCTGAGTTAAACTTTAGTTTATCTCTCTCCATAAGTCCCACATTCCTACTGTAATAATTGAGGAATATAAAAATGAGGGAAAACTTATATTAACATTAGCAGGCTAATCGGGAGAATTTCATCACATGCCAACACTTGTGAGGAATTGCTGTGGTTTTTATACAAATGACTAGATGTGTCAGGAGTTAGTGTTTTTCTGGCTGCTCTCTGCCTAGTGATTTTTCTAGCTAGAGTGCACTTACTAATCTTACCATACACCTGGGCTTTCCCTTTTTCCTTGCCAGTGAGAAACTGGAAAGCTTGCTTGGATTTAAGGATTTAAGAATTTATTAATCATACAAGATATAAATAAAAATATCCCTAGCAAAAACCCACCAGTACCTTAGACTGAGGAATTGGGAATGAGATTATTCTGTAAGGGCAAAACTGAACTCTCCTTGGCAAGTAAGTTGGTTTGGTTTCATTGTTTCAGGAACAGATCAATTACTTAGAGATGGTACAAGTTTTATGTTGATTAAGTAAGGAGTACTGCTTTAGTTCAGAGGAAAAAGCACAGTTATGAAAGAGAGGCAGCCCTCTACTATGACTTCACTAGCTGTCATTTCTTTGTGACATTATGTAGGCACCTGTAATTCTAATATGTCAAAGAAAATGGTAACTCTTGAATTTTGCATTTCCACTGTTTGAGCTTAAAATGTAGAATAGAGATTTGTAAGATATTGTGAAGAAGTTACTTCATTTTTAATGGTAAATAAAGTCCTCATTTCCAACTCCAGAGTAAGGAAACAGCAAAAATTACCAAAGAAAAAGATTTGGAGCTTTCAAAGACAGACTGAACTGGATAAATTAGCGTATTGTTATCCTATGAAATAGTCTTAGCATTTGCTCAGGAAGAACTTTCAGGCAGTCCAAGGTCTGCTTCAGTTGTTCATTACAAAATAAGGACATTTTATAATTTTAGAGAAACTATATTTTTTAAAACTATGTTTTATCTAAACATAATGTTGAGAGCAAACAGCAGGTTGGGATTATGTAATTTTATGTCAATTTAGAGAAAAAGACAATAAGTGAACAACTGAAGATATGGAGGACAAAGCTTGGTGATCCAAAATGCTTATTATAGTTTCGGAAAATAACATAGCATACAGAAAAGATCAAGCAAGATTAGTGAAAAATATTTAAACAAATTATAGTTGTTAGCAGAATAATTTTCAAGAATGAAAAAAACCATATAGACACTAGTTAGCCTATAAAAAGGTAACAAATATAGCTATAACATCTGATGTAAAAGATTGTCACACCAAAATCTGTCAATAAACCAAGATTTTTCATATACAAAAACAATAGCCATCTTTAGATAATTAAGTATTCAGTGGATATTGATGTACTTCTCCCTAAAGTAATCCAAATGAAGATCTCAAAAATAGGAAAGATATGATATAAAAAAAATGGTGGTAAACAGCAAATAAGCAAAGCTTAGGATGACTGTCAGAATAATTGTAATTAACCTGTATCCAAAATAATATACAAGATTATTAAAAAGAGATTATAAGAAAATAAATGGTTGGGACTCAAAAGCCCAGGTGATTAAAATAGTCTAAGAAGAATATATGTGTACAAAACTCTACTTTAAAAATAAGGGATATAGGGGCTGGGAAGTTGGCTCAGTGGTAGAGCGCTTGCCTTGCATGCCTGAGGCCCTGGGTTTGATTCCTTAGCACCACATAAGCAAAAAGAAAAAAGCCGGAAGTGGCGCTGTGGCTCAAGTGGTAGAGCGCTAGCCTTAAGCTAAAGAGCCGAGGGACAGTGCCCAGGCCCAGAGTTCAGGCCCCATGACCAGACCCCCCCCCCCCCAAAAAAAAGGGATATAGTCAGGTGCTGGTGGCTTACCCCTGTAATCCTAGCTACTCAGGAGGCTGAGATCTGAGGATTGTGGTTCAAAGCTAGCCCAGGCAGGAAAGTCTGTGAGACTTATCTCCAGTTAACCACCAGAAAACTGGAAGTGGTGCTGTGGCTCAAGTGGTAGAGCGCTAGCCTTGAGCTGAAGAACTCAGGTTACAGTGCCCAGGCCCAGAGTTCAAGCCCCATAACTGATTCCCCTCCCCCCCCCACCCAAAAAAGGATATATTTTGCTTATAAAATAAACAGGTAACAATCTTAATGTGAATTATTTCAGGGTGGTTAGGAAGAAGGTAATTTTTTAGGCTTTTTATCTGTATTTATACATCTTTTCTCCCTTGCCATAAGCATATACTGGCCTTGGAATAAGAAGATAAGGCACAAGTACTTAAGGAAAAAAAAAAGATGACTTTAAAAGATATTTGTGGTAGTTTCATATTACTGGTTCCTATACTAGTAACAAATGGATGGTCCTAAGATACTGGTGGTGGTTGGCCTTGTGATTTTGATATGGCTGGAGACCATGGGAAGAAGTGAGAGGGTGCTGACAGCTAGTGGTCCTAAAAGGGAACTCAGTGAGGAAAGACTACATGATACATTTTGTTCTGGCCTTGAGTCCCATGAGTGGTTCCGGTGAAGCTCTGGGGCTAAGTGGTGGCAATAGGCAGTTAGGAAAGGTGGGGAAGTAGGAAGACGTGAGTACTACCTACAGTGCTTTGTTATTGTTGATGTTTATTTCACTTGGGTCCCTTTTTCAGTGAAGCAGTCACCTGGCCTTGGTCCAGTCGAGCTGGCAGCTGTCATTGCTGGACCAGTCTGCTTTGTGTGTATTTCACTCATGTTGATGGTATATATCTGCCATAACCGCACTGTCATTCACCATCGAGTGCCAAATGAAGAGGATCCTTCATTAGATCGACCTTTTATTTCAGAGGGTACTACGTTAAAAGACTTAATTTATGATATGACAACATCAGGGTCTGGATCAGGTAATGTAATTGTTTTACTTTTTTTCTATGGAGTTTTTTAAATTACAGTATTTATTATAATTGTTGAAATTATAGTATTTACTCAATTATAGTATTTATTAGTATTTGTTTAAACCTTAAGACATATTATTCCAGGTTTGAGCCTAATAAAAGTCGTTAAGCTTTGTCTATCGTTGACTATGGCTAATTAAGTGTAGATAAATTGGAGCTTACTTTTTTTGTTCTTGGAACAAGTGAGTCAGCTCCACATTTGTATTAATTTCAGAGTATTCTCATATAATCTCATTTGTTTTTCATGAATATATGAGGTAGAAAGGATGAGGGCAACTGTTCTCATTATATGAAGCTGAAGTTCAGGTTTTTTTTTTTTTTTTTTTGCTGGTCCTCAGGCTTGAACTCATGGCTTGAGCACTGTCCTTGAGCCACTTTGTGCTCAAGGCTAGCACTCTACCACTTGAGCCACAGCCCCACTTCTGACTTTTTCTGAGTAGTTTATTGGAGATAGGAGTCTCACCACCTTTCTGCCCAGGCTAGCTTCAAAACTGTGATCCTCAGATCTCAACCTCCTGAGTAGTTAGGATTATAGGTGTGAACCACTGGTGCCCAGCTAAGTTCAAAGATGTTTAAATTATCTACAGCTACCCATTCTATTCAGGACTGTTTAGCAACTTTATTTTTGTATTCAGAAGTTGGCATGATATAAATGTGTTGAAATTGGGATATTATTTTATCAGGTCTGTGTTTTTTTGTTGTTGTTTTAGTTAAACCAATGAAATTCTTAGTCATTTCCTTCAGAAAAAATATAACCACTTTATTATTTAATATAGCTTTGTGGGCACATGGCCCCTGAGATGTTTACTTTTCTGTTTTTTTGATTTTCATGGGATCAGAAATAATACTAATTGCCAGAATCATCCAAGGTAAATTTTAACATAAATATTTCACTTTTTGTGTGTGTGTGTGTGTGTGTGTGTGTGTGTCAGTCCTGGAGCTTGAACTCTGGGCCTGGGCACTGTCCCTTAGCTCTTTAGCTCAAGGTGAGTGCTCTACTACTTGAGCCACAATGCCACTTCCGGTTTTCTGGTGGTTTATTGGAGATAAGAGTCTCATGGACTTTTTCTGCCCGGCTGGGTTTGAACTGTGATCCTCAGATCTCAGCTTCCTGAGTAGCTAGGATTACAGGTGTGAGCCACCTGCGCCTGGCAATATTTCACTTTTAAACTGAGAGGGAAGTGTCTTTTACTTTTTTTTTTTCCTTTCTTTCATGTGGTTGGGAAGGATACTGAGGGTGGAACATATCCCTATCCACTGCAGTTTAGGAATTTGATACTTGGCCTTCAAAGTCCAGTATAAGCTTGGTTACTAATTAGTTCTGTGAGCTTGGTTAGGCTATATTTCCTCTTTGAACTTTTATTTCCTCATGAGAAATACAGAAAAGAAGCCAGGCACAGTGTCACATGCCTGTAATCCCAGCATTTGGGAAGTGGAGACAGGAGTACTGTGAGTGTGAGGCTAGACTGGGCTTAATAGTGGCACCCTGTCTCAAACAAATGAACAATCAAAAGAAGAAATGCTGGGGCTGGGAAGGTGGCTCAGTGGTAGAGTGCTTGCCTTGCATGCTTGAGGCCCTGGGTTCGATTCCTCAGCACCACATAAGCAAATACAAAAAAGCCGGAAGTGGCGCTGTGGCTCAAGTGGTAGAATGCTAGCCTTGAGCTGACGAGCTGAGGGACAGCGCCCAGGCCCAGAGTTCAGGCCCCACGACCAGACCCCCCCAAAAAAAAAAACGAAGAAGAAATACAGAACACATTCTGTTATTAAAAATAAAGCAATTTGTTAGGACTTTACAATGACATATCTCTTTTGAAAACTATCAGCATCAGAAAAGGGCAGCCTTGAAACACAAAATCATATTAATGATGTGGAAAGCCCACATAATGAAAAATGTCTGTATTTTAAGGAAGTTAATATTTATTTATGCTTATGTATATCAGTACATTTGTTTAAGTACCATGAGGAAACTTATTCTTTGATCTGAAGCCTTCTGTAAAACTTGACAGTATATATTCAGTACTAGCTTGTTCTTTCCCTGAACACACGCAGACTTTTCCTGGAGACCTTAAGGCAACCTTAGGGGCTCCTTGAGCCAGTTTGGGAATAAGGAAATTACAGGTTAGACTAAGAAGGAGCAGCTTGAGTATTGAAGATAATGATCTTTGGGCATTTTAAGGTATGTGTGTGTGTGTCATTGATTTGGAGTTAGTTCAAATGGTTCCCAAATAAATTTTTTTTGATTTTTTAAAAATAAGTTATTCTGATCTGAAAGTCACAGAAAACTGGGGTGTCTGAAGATCATTTGAAATTAAATCCTCTAACAGGTTGCCAACTTGTACCTAGGGAAATCAAAGCAGCTCATGTTCACAAAGCTCACTTAAATAATTAAAAGCATGAATGTGTGCATGGCATTGATTTCTAAACAAGCCTATATTTGCCTTTTAAAATATAGACATGAAGAATTGAATTATTCTTTTTCCACTTCATGTATTTTTTAAGGTTCATCAGGTATCATAGCTCTGTATTGTCTGAAAGCTTCTCTGTTTCCTTTTATGCCTTGCTTTGCAAATCTTTGTCTACATCATTTGCTTTTCTGTAGCCTTGGGCAAGTTAGCTGATGTCTCATGCTTCATTTATTTCATCTTTAAACTAAAAGCCATGACCAGTGAATGTTACTGGATTATTGTGTAGTTTGACTAAGACAAGACATTTGTTGTGAAAACAATTGGTAAAATTGAGTCACATCCAGAAAAGCCTTCTTTCTCTTTCTCTGTGAACTTCTCCAAGCAGAAATTATCTTCTCTTGAACAATGGCAGAAAAATCCATTTCCCTTACAATTGTAAAGCCTACTGGTACCTTGTGCATAAGACTCATGCCTGTGAATACGCAAAATGATTACTCATAATACTGTTTTTAGTTCTTCATTCATTGAGGAAAAGGTAAAACAAAGCATTTCCTGTTTAGAGTCCGCATGTTCATTACTCATTACCAGACCATATTTGAGGAAGGACCTTATTTCTACCTCTCAAAGAATGTACTTTTAACTTCAGAAAGACAGGGAAGACTGTGAAGAACTGGGTTGTAGCAACTCTCTGAAGATAACCTAATCTCTTGTATTAATTTTAGTCACAGGTTGTATATGTATTCATATTTAAGCTGTAATTAAATTATAAAGCATATACCAATTTTTGAAAGAATGAGGTCTGTGTTTGTTAGATTTTATGTGTGCTTGTGGTCGCTTGTATTTTATGTCTATTATTCAGATCTTATATCCAGGTTTTATATATGCAATTTCCTCTCACTGTTTTTAAGAAGGGGAAACAGAGTAATATAGTAATCTAAATTTAGTATGCTTATTTTTGTCACTAAAAGAAAACTGTTATTTAAAAACATGCTTAGGTATTCATATGGGTTAAATCCAATAGAGAATATCATGAATCTAAATTTGGTTTTTAATTTTAATTCTGCATCTAGAATCCAGTGTGAAGGGGAAGGAAACATTTCTCATTTTCCTGTTAATTTTTCCTGAACATTACTATTTATACAAGTATTAAACCTGATGGGAATTTCTGGGCTTCCTGTGTATAATATTTTCTTTATTACTCATTTGTATCCTCTCAATTTAATCTCTCGAAGTGAACTCCTCAATATACTTTAAGTGTGTGATGTGGCTCGTATATGAGGCTTTAAGAAAATTTAGTGAGTCATTTACAGTAAAAAGCACATAATGATTAGAAGTTGGTTGCTCATAGTATAGAGTTCCTTGATTTATTTAAATCAGATGTTTTTTCACAGATCTTTTTTTATCTAGAGGTCTCCTTGTACATAAAACAATTGTTTTATATTAGACTGTTAGCTGGGGAGGGTATACAAGAAGAAGAAAAGACCCATCTGAGAAATATAAAAACAAAAGAGAAGGATTTCTGATTAATTTCTGACTACATTTGGACTTAGAAGCATTTCATATCAGAGAATCAAAGGGTAGATAATTTCATTTACTGTCTTTGGGCTAATTTGATCTAGTAAATAGATCTAATATAAATTATAAATGCCATATTTATGTCTACATATATTGTATAAATAAAATACTAGTATAGAAAATTATGTTAGTGTATTTTTAATGACAGTTCTTTCATGAATAGAGAATATGATATTAAATGATTGTCCCAAATATAGAATATCTTTCTCTTGGGTTGGGAATGTGGCTTAGTGGTAGAGGGCTTGCCTAGTACTTGGTTCCTCAGTACCACATAAAGAAGGTGAAAAAGAAAAATTACTGCAATAGATTAAAGCACATCAGACTTCCAGAAGTCCATTTGTATTAGTAAAAAAATTAAAAGAAATGGTGCTGTGCCTCAAGTGGTAGAACACTCACCTTGAGCTGAAGAACTGAGGCCCAGAGTTCAAGCCCCATGACTGACCTAACGACAACAACAACAAAATTTAAAAACACTCTCTTTCTCCTCCCCTTTCTCTTCCCCTCCCCCTCTCTACTTTTCCCCTCCCCTCTTCTCCTCCTCTCCTCCCCTCTTTTCTCTCTCTTCTCTCTTCTCGCCTCTTCTTCCCTCCCCTCCCCATTCCTCTCCTCTACTTCCTCCCCCCCTTGCCCTCTCTCCTCTCTCCTTTCTCTCCTCTCCTGTCTTCTCTCTCTCTGCTGGTCCTGGGACCTGAACTCAGAGCCTGGGCAGTGTCTTTGAGCTTTTTAACTCAAGGCTAAGACTTTCTTGCTTGGGCTAGCTTTGAACTGCAATTCTCAGATTTCAATAGCTAGGATTAAAGGTTTAAGCCACTGGTCATGGCCCAAATATAACATCTCTTAAATATGTAGATGACAAGTAAATTCTTTTAAGTGAAGTAAGTATGACTATATTTGAATATAGGTATTTTGGAGTAAGCAAGGTCATTTATTAAAAACAAAACAACTTTCCCACTACTTTGTATCATTCTTTCAGCTTTTGTGTCACATGGGCCACTTAATAGCAAGTCTTCAGTCTACCTTGAAGCAGTTTCTATGATACAATTTATTAAAACTTAAATCAAGGTTATTTCAATATTGTTTATTTTTTGTGCCAATTTTGGGGCTTGAACTCAGGGTCTTGGTGCTGTCCCTGAGCTTCTTTGCTCAAGGATAGACTCTACTTGAACCATAGTCCCACTTCTGACTTTTTTTGGTGGCTAGTCCCAGATAAACATCTCATGGACTTTCTGGCCCCATCTGGCTTTAAACTGTGATTCTTAGATCTTATCCTCCTGAGTAGCTAGGATATCAGGATTTCAGTTACAAGTATCTGGCTATTTCTGTGTTTTTCTGTTTTTCTTATCATTTTTTTCCCCATCTTACCAAAGTCATCTTTCTAAAATAAGATTTTAATATTACTTTTCCCTAATGATTGCCCTTTTTGAAAAATCTCAATGGGTTCTCTTTATCCACCTCATTGGTCATTACACTATCCTTCAGTGCTCTTCATGTTCTGGTGATAGCCTCCCTTCCCTTCCATTGATGGCTCTTTAATTAATCAGACTGGTTCCTGAAACATGCACTATTTATTCTTTTTTTTTTTGGGGGGGGGGTCCTGTCGTGGGGCCTGAACTCTGGGCCTGGGCACTGTCCCTCAGCTCTTCAGCTCAAGGCTAGTGCTCTACCATTTGAGCCAAAGCACCACTTCCGGCTTTTTTCTTTTTGCTTATGTGGTGCTAAGGAATCGAACCCAGGGCCTCAGGCATGCAAGGCAAGCGCTCTACTACTGAGCCACTTTCCCAGCCCTATTTGTTCATTTTTATCACCTGCCTCTACTGCATACCTTTCCTACCTGTTGTATTTCCTTTTTCTACTTTGGTTCTGTCCCTGTGGTAAAGGACAGTCAAATTGAACTTAATTTACAATGCCTACCCTGACCTTATAGGCAGGAGTTTCTGGACTATTTTATTGTACTATTTTATTTATTGTTTTGTTTTGTAAATGTAGTCTATATCTCCTCGTGACATTTAAGTTCCTTAAAGGTAGAGTTTCAGGACACCTACTAAGTCACTCTATATTGTGTGTTATGGTTTTTTGAGGCACATATTTCTGATTATGTGAATACTATTTATTTTTGTCTTTAGGTCTACCACTGCTTGTTCAGAGAACAATTGCAAGAACAATAGTATTACAAGAAAGTATTGGCAAAGGTCGATTTGGAGAAGTCTGGCGAGGAAAGTGGCGGGGAGAAGAAGTTGCTGTGAAGATATTCTCCTCTAGAGAAGAACGTTCATGGTTCCGTGAGGCAGAGATTTATCAGACTGTAATGTTACGCCATGAAAACATCCTGGGATTTATAGCAGCAGACAATAAAGGTCAGTAGCATTTGCTAACTCTTTTTTTTTTTTTTACATGAGCAAGGTAATGAGCACATTTCTTTTTTTTATTTATTTTTATTTTATTTTTTTTTGTGAACATGTTGTACAGAGGGGTTACAATGACATGGGCAGGATAATGCGTACATTTCTCATTTGCTAACTCTTACAGAGGGTAACAAAGTCTAGTTAAGCCTTTTTTAAAGATCCAACTACTAAGTCTTATTATATTTGGTGAGAAATAGATTTAGATCCTAAAGATGATACCCATTTAGCCAAATATAAACTTTAGGAAACAGATTCTTCTTCAAGATTGTCTTGAGCTAGGCGCCTGTGGCTCATACCTGTAATCCTAGCTACTCAGGAGGCTGAGATCTGAGGATCACAACTCAAAGCCAGCCTGGTTAGGACTCTTATCTCCAATAAACCACCAGAAAACTGGAAGTGGTGCTGTGGCTCAAGTGGTAGGATGCTAGCCTTGAGCTGAAGAGCTGAGGGACAGTGCTCAGGCCCAGAGTTCAAGCCCCAATGCCAAAAAATAAAAAAGCAAGATTGTCTTACCTCATGGCTAAATGGTTCTAAATCTCATATTGGCTTAAAATATAGAACTATAATAGAAAGCCACATACTTGTGTTATTTTAGTTCTGGGCAGTTGAATATTATAAGGTAGAAAAATTTATAAACTGTGGTTGGTCAAAATTTGAAGTAGAGTAGGGCTTAGATATTTGTTTCTTTGTAATTTCTTCCAACCCAGTAGGATATTTTAGTATAATAGTATAATAGACCAATGACCTTATTTGGGGGAAGGTAAAAATAATTTATCAATATATTCTATATTCTGAGATAGTAGGGGATAAATATTCATCTTTAAGTAAGCTCTGTTAAAAAGAAATGGTCCTTCTCCAGCTGCCTGTCTGTTGTTACTTAGGTGGACACACCCATAACACAGGTGCAAGGCCAAGCCAAGTGCGTTGCTGAAGGAGCAAGAGGCTGCCTCGGTAGAGTCAGTGTGATGGTGATTGCAGCAGTGACTTCAGACTCTGCTTCACCTGCTTTCTGGGCCTCAGTCAGTACTTGTCTCTACAGTTCCTACTTCTACCACATATCGTTCTGTCAGACTCATGTTGTGACCCTCCCCTCAACATCCTCACCCTACATCAAGTGTATTTCTCAGATTTTCTATTACACAAGCAAATGAAAACAACTAAGCCAGATGCTGGTGGCTCACTCTTATAGCTACTCAGAAGATTGAGATTTTGAGGATCACACTTCAAAACTAGTCCAGGCAAGAAAGTCCACGAGACTTACTTTCAATTAGCTACCAAAAAAGCTGCAAGTGGAGCTGTGGCTCAAGTGATAGAGCACTAGCCTTAAGCAATACTCAGGCACAACACCTAGGTCCTGAATTCAAGCCACTGGAGTAGCAACAAAAATTTAAAAAAAAAAAAAAGCAAATTCTTACCATTTTTTTGTAGCTTGGCCAGACCTTTAGGCATCATTCCTTCTATCTCCTTCATTTCCTTTAGTGGTATTTATTTCTTCACAATATTAACTGTTTGATCTCAGATGGTGGGTATGGATTTTTTCCACTTCTGTATTTTCAAATTATTTACAATAAGCATCTTTTACTTGGTTAAAAAATATATAAATGTATATGCTTTATATACATATATTTGCTTTATATATATACATATATGTATATTTACAGGAAATGTCCAACGTGTGGAAAAGTAGAGAATAGTATACTGCTTCTTCACCAGCCAGCTTCAGTTATCAGCTCACTGTCAATCACTGGTCTCTGATGTATTTACATCTAACCAAATTGTTTGTAACCAATCCCAAATTACCTATCTTTTCATCTATAAACATTTTAGTTTTAGCTGGGTGCTGGTGGCTCATGCCTGTAATCCTAGCTACTCAGGAGGTTGAGATCTGAGGAGCATGGTTCAAAGCCAGCTGGGGCAGGATAGTCTGTGAGATTCTTATTTACAGTTATCCACCAGAAAACCGGAAAGTGGTACTGTGGCTGAAGTGGTAGAGTGCTCACCTTGAGCTGAAGAGCTCAGGGACAGCGCCTAAGCCCAGAGTTCAAGCCCCATGACTGGGAAAAAAGGCAAAACCCCCATATTTCAGCTCTTATCTTTAAGTGATAAAAGAGTATCTTTTATGAAACAACCACTCTAAATGATTTTCAAATATCCTGTCTGGTTTAGCTCTGCAGTTGTCTCTTTCCAAAAAGACAGGTTGTTTATTCAGATATAGTCCCAAGTTCACATATTGCATTTGGTTGATACTTCTCATACGGCTCTTAAAAAATCGTTGGTTTCCCTCAACTGTTTTAGTGTTTGTTTTTTTAAATTTATTTGCTGAAGAAAGTAGATGGATGGTGCTGTGGGCTCATAAAATTCTGTAATTTGCTAATTACAAAGACAATATGGAATGTCTCTTAGTCATCTATATTTTCTTTAAAACCTGGCTTTAGAGGCTGAATCTAATTGAAGTTTTAGTGGTTTTCCCTAAATACATACTAAGTATATTATATGCTTGTTAGAGCACAAGAGACACATAATGTTTGATTATGACAATAGACAGTGATTGGCTGTAGGCAGCAATAATCAGTGGCTACTAATACTTCAATATTATTTAAGTTTTTAAAAAATAAACAAAAATGATCACACTTGGACCAGTTCCTTTGTTCTTATTTTGTTCTTCCTTTGACCTACTTAATTCTTCCCTCAATCCTTCCATAATCCTTTCCCTCTTACTCTCTTTCCTCCTTTTTGTTTATTTTTGAAACAAGGTTTTGCTATGTAGTCCAAGGTGGCTTGAAACTCTTTGTATAGGCAAGACTGGCCTCAACTCGTGATCCTCCTGCCTCAGCCTCCTAAGGCCTGGGATTAATGGCTCATTTACCACACTCAGCTTATTCTTGTTACTTTTTTCAGCATCTTACTGATTTTATAAGAAGGCTAGAATTCTACAAATACTGATTGTTCTCTTAAAGGTTTTTCTATTCTGATTTCAACTTCTAAGTGACTTAGATCTGTATTTTGAAGCTTAAATCTCACGTAGTAGGGCATGTAGTAGGGTATGTTGCAAGTTGCAGACACATGGGCAAAGATGCCAGAGCTGCTGTGTCTGAACTGATTCATTTGTTAAAAAGCAGCAACTAGCCAGGTGCTAGTGGCTCACACCTGTAATCCTAGCTACTCGGGAGGCTGAGATTTGAGGATCACAGTTCAAAGACAGCCTTAGCAGGGAAGTCATGACAATCTAGTTGAAGCTCTGAGTTGAAGCTTCAGGACTGGGACCAAAAAAGGAAAAAGAAGAAAAATGAAAAAAGGGCTGGGATGTAGCTCAGAGGCAAAGAGCTTGCCTAGCAAGTGCAATATCCTGGGTTGAATCCCCAATACCAAGAAGGAAAGACCAAAAAACAAAGACAAAAAGAAAAAGCAACCACGTAAATGGATGCTGCCATCTGGTGGTCACTGTAGGAACTACCTAGCTAGCGCTACTGGTTCTTCCCTGTTCCTTTTATCTTCTTTGTCAAGGCTTTAATGGACTTTACTCAGAACCTAGATCTTCCAACCCCAGGTCCCTTTTCCTTTATCTTTATCTTATTGACTTGGCTAATTGCATCTCATACAGCCCTGTCTATGCTCTATCTCCCTGGTCAGTTGCCTCTCAAAACTCTACCTACCTATGTTCTTTTTTATTTCATGTTTGTGAGCCTTTCAAAATTCAGTCATGGAAGCTAGTCATGTACTTACAGAAAAAGATGGTTTGTATAGAGTCATAAGGGTTATGAAAAAAAAGTTAAAAACTAGGGTTACTAATTTAGTTCTTTGGAAAATAATGAGAAAACCCCCTTTAGAATCTGAGAAGTTCCATCTCCTTCCTTAATCTCTTCTACTCAGTGTTGTTGTTCTTGAAGTAACAACCTTCAAAATAAAAAATTCATGAATGTCAATTTTTTCTTCAGTTTTATAGCCAATAGGAGGGGAAGAAACACATTTTAAGCTCTTAATTGCCAAGCATTGTACTACCTGCAATTTGAAAGTCTAGTACTGTGGTCTCTTTGAAATCTTAAGTAAAACAGAGTAAGATATGATGATTTTTTTTTTTTTTTTTTGCCAGTCTTGGGGCTTGAACTCAGGGCCTGGGCACTGTCCCTGGGCTGCTTTTGCTCAAGGCTAGCACTCTGTTTATGTGGTACTGAGGAATCCAATCCAGGGCTTCATGCGTGCAAGGCCAGCACTCTACCACTAAGCCACATTCCCAACCCAAGATATGATTCTTGTATAAAGAAAAATCAGAGGCCTTAGCTAAGAAACTTGTCTGTGATCATGTAATTGATAACAGGTTGGCCCTTGATCCCAACCCAGGTCAGAATGAGTAAAGTATAGATCTTTTACTGAATTACTCTGTCTCTTAAAGTTGTAAGGCATTTTTTTTCTTTATAATTCTGTATTTTTCTAGTTCCTATCTTTTGTGGACTGGTCTAACCTAGGAGCCCATCTAGCATCTTTACCATTTCAAATTCATGTAACAGCTTGCAAAGGAACTTTAGAATTCATATTCATAGTTGTTTAGGTTCAGAATCACCTTGGGTATAACTAGGTTCAGTCTGCTTATGTCATAGGCACTGCTTTGTTGTTGTTGTTTTTTAAACCAACTTCTTACTTGGTATCTTTGTGAACTATATCCATGGTCTTTGGCTAAAGATCATCACTATTAATGGAGGCTCATTGTCTTGTTGTCTACCCTTCTAACCCCATTGTGGTCAAGTAGGCTCCCTGATACTTCTCAGTTCCTTCCCTGTTGCTAGGGGTTTTGGGTTTTTTTTTTTATTTCCTTTTACTTTTTTATTTTTAAAAACTGGCGTAGAACTCCTAATCTGGCCCCAGTCTAGGCATTTAAAATCCCAGACTTGCTACTGTGTCAACTGACTACAATTCATTGGCTCCTTAATATTATTTATCCTTGCGTTATCTCAAGAATAAATGGAGGGGCTGGGAAGGTGGCTCAGTGGTAGATCACTTGCCTTGCATGCCTGAGGCCCTGGCTTCGATTCCTCAGCACCACATAAGCAAAAAAGAAAAAAAAGCCGGAAGTGGCACTGTGGCTCAAGTGGTAGAGCACTAGCCTTGAGCTGAAGAGCAGAGGGACAGCGCCCAGGCCCCGAGTTCAGGCCCTACGACCGGACCCCCCCCCCCAAAAAAAAACAAACAAGCAAACAAACAAGAATAAATGGATTACTCTGAGTATCTAAAGAATGCGTATGTAAAAGTATAGAACAAACTTCAATATATAACAGATTGTGAAGGAAATTCAAACTTAAGGGGGAATCAAGTTGTAGTAGTATGATATGGAGTTGAGAGTAATAGTGATTTGTAACTTTGAATATATAAGCCATAAAGTTTCTACAACTCAGCTGAAACATCATTATTGTTTTGCAGACAATGGTACATGGACTCAGCTCTGGTTGGTGTCAGATTATCATGAGCATGGCTCCCTATTTGATTACTTGAACAGATACACAGTAACTGTGGAAGGAATGATCAAACTTGCTTTGTCCACAGCAAGTGGTCTTGCCCATCTTCACATGGAGATTGTTGGTACCCAAGGTAACTCTTCAAATAGTTATTATTTAAACTTTAAATTATCATGAATGTAATGTGTATTAAATAGAAGTCAGCCTCAGTAGGGGTATTTAGATAGATTTTATCTTCTTGAAAACAACGTTTCTGTAGAAATATCTCAGTGTTAAAAGCCTGGGAATTTGTTTAGAGATTTTTTTTTTTGTAGGCATTATAACAACATGGATATTTTTGTGAATTCTTAAAAATGTAGCATTCAAGCTGGGTGCTGGTGGCTCATGCCTGTAAAGCTAGCTACTCAAGAGGCTGAGATCTGCCAGCTGGACAGAAAAGTCCATGAGACACTTAACCTCTGGTCCTGAGTTGAATCCCAGTATTGATGCATGCATGTGCGTGCATGCATACATGTATGTGCGTGCACGCGTGCACGTGTGCGCATGCACACACACACACACACACTTGGGATATCAGTCTGTAATTAGGTTTCTTGTAAAGAATTCATAAGACACCAATAAACCAATAACTCTTTTCATCTTCAGTTTTTTTCACTATAAGTCTTTGAGACTTATGTTCTTTGAGCATCATATTTTGGCCCATCATATCGTTTCCATTTTCTTTAAAGACAGAATTTCAGCAACTTTTGGTGTAGTGAGTCACTTGGTTGTTTAGTAAAAGTCTAAGTGTTGCAGGTGATGTTGTAGAAAAGCTTTCATGACTGGAGGATGACTTTTGAGCCTAAAGGGGATGATTGTGACTGATAATTCTTCTTAATAAATCATGGTTAATTTTTGGTTCTTTAGGTAAACCAGCCATTGCTCATAGAGATTTGAAATCAAAGAATATCTTGGTGAAGAAGAATGGAACCTGTTGTATTGCAGACTTAGGACTGGCAGTAAGGCATGATTCAGCTACTGATACAATTGATATAGCTCCAAACCACAGAGTAGGAACAAAAAGGTACACTTGTGAATAAGTGGTATTTAGTGATTCTTGAAATCAGTTTCTTTTCCTTCTTCTAATTAGTATGTGTGTATCTTTTCTGAAATTCAAACTTGGTACTTTATTGGACTGGCCATAGGAATATAGTGTCATGGTCTTTTCTGTTCTGAAGCCAAGATTACCTGACTAGTAAGGTGTCTGATAATAAAAGACAGCACTTCCAGAAAATATTTTCATTAATTAGGTTAGTTGTAATAGTAACTGATTTTTGTAGGTTATTGTCTATTCACCACCATCTTAGTAGGTTTCATGTGTGTGTGTGTGTGTGTGTGTGTGTGTGTGTGTGTGTGTGCTCGCACGTATGCATGCACGCATGTGCATATGCTTATTTAATGCCTTCCTCAAATGCTGTATTGTAGCTAGTCCAACTGTTCCCATATATTAGCTTACCTGTCTTCCTTAGAATTGTATGTGTTGTGTCCTTTGCTTTTTTTTTTTTTTTTTAACTTACATCCTTCTTTTCTCATAGAAAGCCTTTTCTGAGCCTCACTCTTGAAAAGTTTTTTTTCTGATCTCAGTCCAGGAAGGGCTATCATAGCACAGTGAACCTACACCATTTTCCATATTATGCTGTAACTGTCCATTTATGTGTCTTGTATGTTCTGTTGGATTGCAAACTGCTTGTTTGCAGCCTTGTAGTGCAAGTATCCATCACAGTGCCTACCTGGCATGTGGGAATCTTTTCAAGAGAACCTATTGAGGTAACCCTACCAGTTAAGAATATGAACAATTCATATGGATGGTAACCTGAAGAGCTCAGATTTCTGACCCCAAAGCCTTTGTTTTTACCAAGCAGAACATTTCTTCAAAACTACTGCTTAGACCTTGAACAACGCCAGCAGCTTTAGCCTGTCTAAAATGTACTTAGATTTCCAGATGCAGTGAGAATTCAGAACTCTTCATTGGCTTAAGAGATCCTCAACAGAGGTTGCTGCAAGTCTTCATGCAAGTCTTATAGGTCTTGACCTATAACCTTCGCAGGGTCTTTGAAACTTTATAACCTTGTAATGTAGTTTCAGCGTGAAAGCTTGCACACACTTTTATCTGTTTGTTCCCTGAAGTCTCTGCCATTCTTTAAATCCTGCTTTAGTTTAATTATTGTTACAAATTAAAATACATAGTCCTAGCATACGTAGTACATGAAGCTGGTATTCATATGGTTATATTTAGTTATAATTGTTGTATATGTGTCTTCACAAGCCAAAATCAGATTTCAGGTGGTTTGAGAACTCAGGGTGAAACTATCGTTAAGCTTAAAACTGCTGTTTCAGCATTTCTTGGGATTTAATAGATGTCATTTATTTACAAACTGGCCTGGGTTTTCAGATATTTTTCTTGAGTCTGATATGATCTCATTTTTGTAAATTGTGTATATGTATATGTATAGAGAAATGTTGGACAGGATGTTCATTCAAATGTTAATACTGGAGGTAAAAGAAGGATATTTTACTTTGTACTTTATATATTTAGGAAAGTTTTTTAAAAAACAGGAATGTGAACTATTTTTTTAAAGTTAATAATCGTCTTGTAACCCTAAGAAATTTTTTTTAAAAAGTTAAAAAATAATATGGTTGCTATTGAACAAAGTAGAATTTTGTCTTCTTTTTAGGTACATGGCTCCTGAAGTTCTAGATGATTCCATAAATATGAAACATTTTGAATCCTTCAAACGTGCAGACATCTATGCAATGGGCTTAGTATTCTGGGAAATTGCACGACGATGTTCCATTGGTGGTAAATGGCTCTTCTTTTTCTTTACAGTCCATTATGAGCAGAAGTTGTTCAAGAATTGACTTCATTTTATTGAATGAAATTCTACAGTTAACAGTCTGACAGGTGATCACTGAGAATGCCAGAAGAAAAATGATGCTAAAACCTGGAGTAAAGGAAATGACAAGCCATGCCAGTGCATAGCTGTATCCTAGTATTGACTTTGTTTCCATTTGACTCTCAGGCAGCATCAGAACTCAAGTCTTTCATTATCTTGGACTGTGGTTATTAGAATGAATGGCTGCTTGTGAGGTCATGCAGAACTGGACCTTGTCAAACTTTTTTTCCCTTGAGATTGTGGTTATTTCCACCAGCTTGAGTAATATAGTAGTAATGCAGTTACCACTACATTAGATTAGGTTTCATTTTAGATGAGAGCATTTGTCAGTGTTTACTGAAGAAACAATATCTTACCAGGTGCAGGTGGCTTACACTATATTTCTAGCTATTCAGGTGGCTGAGATCTGAGGGTTGTGGTTCAAAGCCAGCTGAGGCAGGAAAGTCTGTGAGACTCTTCTCTCCAGTTAACACCAAAAAAAGTTGTAAGTGGTGCTGTGGCTTAAGTGATGGAGTGTGGCCTTGAACACTCCAGGCCCTGGGTTCAAGCCCCAGAACTGGCACACAGATTAAAAAATTATCTTAGGCTTTGAGATCCAGCCTTGGCTAAAACCTAGGACTGACCCAAGGCATTGAGGGACAAGAGTATGGGAACTGTAGCAAATAGACATAGTATTGAGGGATATAAGTAGAAGGGACTTTGATTTCAGAGTTCCCTTACAGAGTTCATATCTCATTGATAAAGACTGTATATTCCAGTACCCAGAAAGAGGCTTGTACAATCATTGAACAAAACCTTATTTGCTCTCAAATAGGGTTTTAGGGGAAAATGTCAACCTGATCAGTATAGCTCATAGTTAGCCCTCATTATAAATAACTTTTGTCAATCTCATGGCTATGCTTAATTTCAAGGTGTGAGCCAAATGGTATCTCAGTTGTGGCTGATACAGATAAGTGCTTTGTTCTAATACCTGATTTAGTAATGGGTCATTGTAACAGTCCTCTTAGATGATACTTGTAATTGTGTGCCATTGGCTGAAATAGATTTTTTTGTAACCACTGTAGGAATTCATGAAGATTACCAACTGCCTTATTATGATCTTGTACCTTCTGATCCATCGGTTGAAGAAATGAGAAAAGTAGTTTGTGAACAGAAGTTAAGGCCAAATATTCCTAACAGATGGCAGAGCTGTGAAGTGAGTATTTCTCCTTGACACGAATCCATTTTCTAAATTGCTTGTGTTTAGTATGAAGAAATTTTGTTCCTTAAGGAAAACAGACTAGAATTAGAATTTAATTTTCTTTCTTTTTCAAAGCATTTAAACCAATGAATTAAAGTAGTATGCTTTTCATGTTCAACTTTAAGTACATTAAAAGGATCAGAGAGTATTTGTAATGGCCATTGGCAGATCTCAACATTAGTAGATCTGCCAGATGAAATAAGACTACTGCCTTTTAGGTGAATATCTCCCTCCCAAGAGTGCAACCTAAAGTTACTGGACAGATACTCATAGGAATTAGGAGACCTGTATTCTAAATTGTCTGGCTCCTATTTCACAGTGGAACTTTGGACAGATCACTTTACTTCTCTGAACTCAATATCCCTTTGTAAGATGAAGAACTTGTCTAAGATGATTATGAAGCAGTTGCCAATGATTTTGGGTTCTTATTTATCTGATGCCCCAGTGACTGTTAACCAAGAGTTTGGGGAAAATGCTTTCCAACAGTGTCAACATCTTCTCATTCCTAGCTTTTACAAAAAGTTTTAAAAAACTGTGGCAGTTATTGTAGTAATGTAGCTTTTAGATCTGACATTTTGTAGCTTAGGAGTAAAAAGGTGGTCATGTAAGTAATTGGTTCTACATCTTAAAATAATGTAGGACTCCAGGGAAACTGTATCATACAAAGTATGTTACCTCCATAAATAATTAAGTATTCAGGCAGGCACAGAAGAGAAACAGGTCATCATTGTTAGAGAATTTGTATGTAACGTCATTTGATAAATGATAATATCTGAGGTTTTTTGAACATTTTTTCTATGAAAAGCTTTAAGTTCATAGCAAAATTGAAGGCACATGGGTTGCCTGTATGTCTCACCCCCACACATGTATTACTCTTTATCTTCCAGATAGTCCATTGGTCACAAATGATGAGCCTATTTTGATATATCATTATCACTTGCACTGCATTGGGGTTCACTGTTATTATTGTGTATTCTATTACTTTGGACAAGTGATAACTGTATAATTATCATTTTATGTAGCAGCAAACAGAAAATTTTCATGGCTCTAAAACCTCACTATGTTTTTATAGGTTCAAGTCACCACATAAGCTTCATCTTTCTGCTTTCTGTTTTTTCATTTGTGCATGCTTCTATATTGATCTTTTGGGGGAACCAGTCTCTTGGCTCCTTCCTCTTTGGCTACTCACATTTCCAAAGGACATTCTTTTGTTTTTTGGTTAGTCACGGAGTTGTAGTTAATTTCTCAGCAGGAGCAGATTCATTCTTTTTCTTGTCAGACTGGTTTAAGGTTCAACTTTTTTTAACCTTTTAAGTCTACTAAGTAAGTTTCCCTTGACTATCTAACAGCTGGCACTCTTACCATTTCACATGGAAACGGAAGTCATTTCCATTCATTTGCTACTAGAAGTAACACTAAAACAAAAATCATGTGCAGATATGATTTTAAAAGAAAATTTACAGGTAGAGATTCTAACTCAGATGAATGGTTTGTGCATTCATTAGTAGTATGTGCATTAATTATTTTTCTTACATTTCTTGTAGGCCTTGAGAGTGATGGCTAAAATTATGAGAGAATGTTGGTATGCCAATGGAGCAGCAAGGCTGACTGCTTTGCGGATTAAGAAAACTTTGTCACAACTCAGTCAACAGGAAGGCATCAAAATGTAATTCTGCAGCTTTGCTGGAACTCTACTTTTTCCCAGATCTTCTCCTGGGTTTTCATTTGGGAGGTCAGTTGTTCTACCTCACTGAGAGAGAACAGAAGATATTGCTTCCGTTTGCAGCAGTGTAATAAGGTCAATTGAAAACTTCCCAGGATTTCTCTGGACCCAGGAACAGCCATGTGGGTCTTTTCTGTGCACTATCAAAGCTTCTTTCCCAGGAAAGTTTCAAAATATTGTGTAGTCTACCTTTAGTTTTTATTAACAAAACTTTTTTTATTTTAAAGATGATGCTGGTCTTAACTTTGGGTAACTCTACTTTGTTGAAGATCATCTTTGAGGGAAAAGGAGCTGGATTGTTGAGTTATGTAAAACATTTATTTTTCAAGAAAATGATTTACTCCTGGTTAGTACATTCTCAGAGGATTCTGAACCACTAAAGAGTTTCCTTCAGACTTTGAATGTAGTCTTCTATAGTTTTTCAGGATCTTAAAACTAACACTTATAAAACTTGTATTTTGAGTCTAAAAATGACCTCATATAGAGGTGAGGAACATAATTTATGCAATTGTATTTTGTATACTATTATTGTTCTTTCACATATTCAGAACACTACATGCCTTCAAAATGGGATTGTACTATACCAGTAAGTGCCACTTCTCTGTCTTTCTAATGGAAATAAGTAGAACTTACAAAGTCTCTGTGTTAAATCCTTTAGTGTTTGAATTCAAGAAGTTATTTATGGGGTAACACAAACTTTTTGTTGTTGTTTTTAGAAGGGTTTTGTGGTATGTTGTCAGTATTCCATTTTGAAAATGCCTTTTTCCTACCGAAATGTGCTTGAAACACTAAAGAAATGCAGTGGCATTAATAAGTAAATGGTTATCATGGTCATGTTGGAATATTCTCACATTGAGCTTTTTAGTTTGGTTGTATTATCTGAGTAACTTCGAAAAGTCAAGTGGCACTCTAGATGCTTACAGTGCTCTAATAATTGTTCCTTTATAGCAAACAGACTGTTATCTATATGGAGAAGTTTTGTCTAGCTGCTTGTGAAAAGTTGTGTGGTATTCTATAAAGCCATTTTTTTTCTTTATCTCATCAAAGACAGTGTTATTTTTTTTTAAGAAAGTAATTACACTGAAGATTAGGATGTGGGTAATGTTAAATACTAGGCTTTTTTCTAGGCAGGCAGAGATAGATTGAATAGATGTGTTTGGTGGTCGCATAGTCACACTTTTTACTTAGTGTGTTTGGTGGATTCTCTGTGAGGTTAGAAAAGAGTAAGCTTCACTTTGAGGAAGGCAGCTGTTAATTCAGTCTTTACTTATCTCATGAAGATGTTGCAACTGCTTGATCTACATGGTTACGTAATAAATTCAGTGCTCCTCTAATAATAGGAGAGGTAGTAGCTAAAGGACATTCTGAGTAGAGGTTTTACACTTAAGGATATTTTTTAATTAAAAATACATGTTCAAAGTAAACTTGTCATGGTTTTTTCATGTGAAGTTGAAATTAGCTTGTTAGTGACTGCTTTTTTACTTCCAGTTCTGTGTTTGCAGGGCTTTTACAGTTTTCGAAGGCTTTTTTTTTTTTTTTTTTTTAACACTGTGATCTCATTCAGAAGGGGAAAACTGGCTGTGAGGCCAGGCTTTGATTTCTGTGTTGTCAGTTCCCCATAGAGGGGTCAGAAGAACCTTTTACTGTATTTGGGTCAGGAAGAGATTATGAATGCCTGAATAAGTTACATTCTGATAATGTCTTATCTGTTACACATAGAATAAATTTGGAAGACTATTTGGTCTTAAAACCAAAGCAGTTTTTGAATGAATGACTTATAGGAATTTAGTGTCAGGAACATAATGGGGAAAATTTGCTTAGAAGTCAGTATTTTGACTACAAATTAGAGTTTTCTCTGTCGTTACCATGATTTCATTGGAGTAAATAAGTTTGAGAAGTTTGTTTTTCATAGTTGTTTTATACTTACCTGCTTAATAAGCTCTAGTTCTATGATCAGGTACTGTTTTGGGGTGTTTTGTTTGCTATTTCTAAGCCTTTAAGACCTGCTTTATGAAGCCCAGGGGACCAATGCATTTTATCACTAAAACTATTTTTGTATAATTTTAAGAACATGCCAAAAGTTGTCTGATTTAAAGTTGTAATACATGATTTCTCACTTTCATATGGGGTAATTAATGTTTGCTAAAGATATTCCTTATAACATCAAAGATTGAGTTACAATTATACTGTTCTTGCCTTTGTGGATAAATGTACTTTTGATATATCAGGGATTTTTTTTTTAAGTTGGAATTTAGTTCTAAATTGAGTTTACATGTTACTATGCTAATTTCCCTTTTGGGGGTAGGGGTAGCTTGATGAATCTCAATTGACTAAAATTGAAAATAAAATTAACTTAAAAAATGTCCTAGAACATTTACTGTGGCCATAATAGAAGATAAATTTGACTTGAATAATACTTCAGTCCCACAAAAGCAAAATCCTTGTTTATACTGCCTATCTAAAGATGCTTAATTTCTGATATTTAACATGACTAAAATGTATCTTCTGTCAAATTAACCTACTTATGTACTCTTGTCAATACTCCAGAGTAGTGACAGAGAAAGAAGTGTGACTTACTGGAGTGTAGATATCCCTGGTTCTTCCTTCATATTTTCAGCTCTGTTTCTCCCAGTCTACCTTTCTGCTTGCTCCTGAGAGACCCTTTTCCAACCTCAGCCTTTTGACCAAAGGGTTGCTTTTGAGTCTTAAGGGTAAAATGGTTGATGGAAATTGTGGGACATACTTTCATTACCTTGAGTTGTTGGATGTGGTAGGTAGTAGTCTCTGGGTCTGGACAGTAAATGAAAGAGGCTTGGGGATGCTCCTGCCAATTGCTTTGCTTTGACTCTTTGCCATGGATAAGAAATAGGATGACCGCAAGGTAGCAGCTGTGGCAATGGAAGTTGTGACAGAAGCAAAGGCCTGTTGTAGTCCCTTGAAGGACCACAAAGTGTGAAGAGCTGAGCTTGCAATTCTGCTGTAATGATAGTGCTCAAGAAGTGCCTTGAGTTAATGAACAGTGCCCCGGCCACCAAGAATTCCAGATTTCAGTTCTCATTGCAAAGTGTAAGTCGTCACCTAACCACAGTGCACACATGTGTGAGCACTTTTTTTTCTCTGAGAACTGTCATATATTGGCTATTTTGTAAAATAAAGTACTAATAAGCATGCACAACAAAATCAGTATCCCTCTAGACATATCAAAAGTTTATTTTCCGTGCACTAAAGTAATGATTGTAAGTCAGTTGTTTCTTTTGTTTCATGATTGTGGCAGTGTTTTAACTACAAGGCATGGGGATTCCAAGTGCTGGTTCTTTCATAAGTCTGTAGAAAATACTCAAATATTTAGAGATTCTGAAGAATATTTCTAGATGTGTACTGCAGCTTAGTAAGTCTGGTTTGGATGCTGGAGTACCAAGAGCCCTCTTTCTAGGAATGCTGTGAGGATTATCATTACAATATTTTTAGTCTTGTTACATAATCTTATTTGTAAACGTAAACTTAAAAAATATGGTTAATAACATTGAACCTGTTTCTTAACACTTAAAAAACTTCAGTGAATTTGTTTTTTTTTTTTTTTGATAAGATTTGTGAATTGAGTATCACGCACCATGTTTTGATACCCCCTTTTCACGTTGTGCCAATGGAATGGGGTATTTAATATTTCTTTATATGTCAAGGAGATGCTTCAAAATGTCAATTGCTTTAAACTTAAATTACCTCTAAGAGACCAAGGTACATTTACCTCATTGTGTATATAATGTTTAATATTTGTCAGAGCATTCTCCAGGTTTGCAGTTTTATTTCTATAAAGTATGAGTGTTATTTTGCAAAATTACTGAACGGTACTGTATTGTTTATATTTGTACCCCAAATAACATCACCTAGACTGTTTTTTATTGTACTTGTGCAAATTTTTTTGAATTTTGTCAGTATAAGCTTTGCCCTTTAAGGTATGTACAGAACATGTCCATATAAATTTTCATTTAAGTTGAATGATTTTCAGATGCCTGTAAAAGAGGAGAGAACATAAATTGCATTTCCCCATAAGTCTTTAAAAACTATATATTGTATTTGTAGTAATATTCCATATGACTGTAAATAGGAGATAGAAGAGTGATGCTTATGTAAGTTCTTAACACTACAGTAGAAAAATGGAAACAATGCAAATAAATTCCTTTTTCCCAAATGCCAATGGCTGCATTCTTTTCTGGAGGCTGGGTATGAATAAGCTTCCAGCTCATTCAGGCTATTGTCAGAATTCATTCCATTCTATTCCATGGGGTTGTAGGACTGAAGTCTCCATTGCTCTGCTGATGTTTGACCAAACATCAATCTTAATTGGCTCAAGACCCTCTCTTCTATCATTAACACCACTCACAAAAGGTGAGTCCTTTGTATACTTCCTTTCTCTGATCACCCTTCTGCCTCAACCCTCCTCTAGTTATTCCACTGCCTCTAAATCTTTAGCTTCCCTCCTCTGCTTTTAAGAGTTCATCTTATTTTACTGGGCCCATTTAGAAAAATCCAGGATAACCTCCCTAGTTAGTAGCTTCTATTGAATATGCAAAGTCCTTTTACAGCAGTACCAAGATTTGTGCTGGATTAAATAATTAGAAGATGGGAATCTTTGAGATAGATATATTTGCCTACCATAATAAATAGGTTTAGTTTTCCTTCTTTAAATGGCAGTAAATTATATAAAACTAATTATAACACTATTGTGAGGTATATATCAGAAGTGCAGTGTAGAAATAAAGTGATATTAGAACAAAGCTATTTTTATTGGAATTACATTAGCCTTAATCTAGAGAAGACTAGGATAATTTGAGACACATATTATTGCAGCAACCACTGTAACATACTAAAAAAAAAAATGAATTGGAATGGCAGCATACTAAAAATAGGAAACATAAAAGGCAGAAAGATGTCTTTCTGTGTCTGATAGATCTCCCCAAATCCTGGTTATTTCTTAAACCCTCTAGACTTTCTAGAAAAACTGGTGAGTGCCAGCCCACAAACTGACATAGTACAAGAAGACAAGCATTCTCTGTATGCCCAAGGAAACCAAAATAAGGACAGGAAGCAGATGGACTGTGGGTGGGCAGACCAAGCAGTTTCTGGAAGAGGGTTACAATTATAAAGAGGATTGTGCTGAGGCTTGAATGTGTTGACCCATTTGCAGATCTAAGACAATACTGGCTATTAAGATGTGCAAGCATTTTTAAATTGCGAGAAGATAAGAAGAGAAAAGGCTGAGCTATACTTGTTTTAAAGACAAAAGTCATTAGGTCAAAGTCACTTCAAAGACGATGAACCAGAGAAGCAAAAATACATTAGATATGAAATGAACTGAACACTCAAAGGCTAGAATTGATCAAGATCATTAAAATAAAAAATAATATCAACTATCTGGGATCCGCAGAGGCACACTTTAGCTTCAGAAGCCAGTCTGGGCAGAAAAAGCACAGAAAACTCAATCTCCAGCTTATTAACCAGCAGAAGGCAGAAAGCAGAGCTGTAGCTCAAGTGGCAGAGTGACAACTAAGTGAAAAAATAATGGACAGTGCTCAGTCCTTGAGTTCAAGCCCCAGTACACACACATGTACATGACACTGCTGTTGGCTAATTTGTCCTGATATAACTCCCATCAGAACAATACATTTTTTCCCCATGTGTGCATAAAACATTGACATGAAAGACCATATGCTGTGCCATAAAACAATTCGGAAGGAATTTTAAAAGGACTGAAATAATAGAAAAGAAATTGAAACTAAGAAGTGGTCAACACATTTTGCAGGTCTTGAAATATACAAACACTTTTAAATAACCAAAGTAGAAATTTCAATGTATAATGAAGATAATTTCCACTGAATGATAATGAAATGCATCTAGAGTAGTGATTTAATGAAAATTTTGTAGTTTTTAAAATGAATACCTTAAGAAGATAATGAAGATAATAAACAAATGCAAAAATCTTTTAAAAAAACACAGTGTTAACAATCCAACAACAAATAAGGAAGTTTATATACTAAGATCAAATGAGGTGTGTCCTATCACTGCCAGTCCCATTTAATATCCAAAAATCTGGATTATTCATTATGGACTCCATATCTGAAGGCACATGGTACCACAAAGACCGCTAGGTGTATCAAGTTAGTGCAGTGCTGTTCTGTAGTGCTTGATTTAATTTACCCAGAATGCCACTCAACTTCCACTAACGACAAGCTATTCTAAAACAAATTTAAAACTTTAAGCAACACTACTGGCCCTTTTTGGGTTAGGAGGGTTTCCATAACTTTTATTTTTCTCTTGGGACACCATTTGTTTTGGAAGAGTCATATTTTTACAAAAGTTAGAGGTGGAAATGCTTATCAGATCACATGATGGATCTAAACACAGCTGATGAGAATGTAGTATTGAGTTTCCCGTCAACTGAACTGCACATCTTGTGTACAGGAGCCCTAAATTTTATTCTGTTTTTGAGATTTTGAAATTCCTTTGTTTTTCTTTTTTACTGTTTGGTCAAATCTACATATAATCTACAAATAAGGCAGGGTTAATGTTTCAAATTATGAGAAGAAATGGTAGAGCACATGATTGACTAAATAGAGAGCATTTGATAGGATATAACATCCATCTATAAATAGGATAAGTATTACTGGACAAACTTGATGTAGAATTCTTAGTCTAATGAAAACCATCAGTGAGAAGCCCACAGCTAATGTATTTAATGGTGAAGAGAATGATTTTCTACTTAAATCAGGAACAAGGAAAGATTGTCTACTTCAGAGAAAAATAATGTGCAAAGCCCTCACTCCTCCCCTCCAAAAACTGACTTAAACGCATTCAGATTAGAAAAAAAAATGTTAAAGTATCATCAGAAGTAACAATCTTGTGTGATCCTAATGAAAATTGAAATTATACTAGCAGTGACAATTCCCCAGGAATTAAAAAGAAAACTCGCATAACAGAATTAAGAAATTTACTAATTTACTAATTTATTTCTCTAGAAAATAATGAGTAGAGACTGCCCATATTGGCTAGAGGATTCTACTATTACACAGACTTCTCAAAGTGGATTACAAGTGCAACTATACCCTGGACGACGTGTTCCAGCGGAACTGTAATCCGTAGATATCCGCCACTGATGCCCAGCTAGGAGCTTAAAAACAAAAATCAAAACAAAACAACCTTGACAAGATTCTAAAACACACTGAAATAAGAAGAATCCAAAATAGTCAAAATACTTTGAAAATAAAGGTGGAGTAATTTCCTAATCCAATTTCGAGATTACTGTAAGGCTGCATTCATCGAAGCAGTTTGTTGGCATACAGACAGGCATTTAGAAGAGAACCCTTACATGCATGTCCAGTCAATATGTATGCCAACGCAGAGGAGAAAAGGAAGTGTTTTCAGTTAATGGTGTCCATGACAATAGGATGCCCATGGTTAAAAAGGAGGAAAAAAGGCAGTGAGGAAGGTAGAGCTCATTCTAGACCTAACAGCATCAAAGCAGTACAATTGCTAGTATAAAACAGATAAATCTTGATGACCTCGACTTAGACAATATGGCTTTAAAGAAAAAAATTAATAAATGGATTATGGTTGCCAACATTAAAATCATTTGGGCTTTAAAATACTTGAGAGCAAAGAGAAAACAGCAACTAAAAAGAGGTACTTTGAAATGAACTGGTAAAAGATTAGTGCTCAGAGTATACAAAGAAGTTACAGCTCAGAAGGACAAGCAAGCAATCCAGTTTTAAAAATGGCCATGAGATGTTTTCAGACATGCCCCCGGGAAGGTACAGGAATGTCTAATGAAGACAATTCTTTCTTAGTATTTCCAAATCATTTGACCCGCTAACTTCATTTATATTCCCCTGTGGACCCTCATAGGGATTTAATATTTTTACTCTCCTTACTCCTTAAAGGAAGCAGGTTGTTTTCACACATTCCCTTCCCAAATACCTAACCCCAGAATGAACAAAACAGGATTGGTGGTTAGTTGGCCATCATCTCTGCTAGACAGTTGGACACTTATTTTCTTAGGGAACCTGGCAAGGCCTATTTGGGGTACTCTAGGGCTTCTCAGAAGGGTTCCCAACACACTTTGTTATTGATGCTACATCTTTTCATACACACATTCCCCTCTAAGTCCCTGTTGCTATGATAGTATTGCATTCTGTGGATCTGAGGCTGCCAGTTGTAGCTGGATGTGAAAAATACCCCAAGTAACATTTTTGACTTATTTCTGTGACTCTCCTGCCTAGGGCCCAGGACTTAATCTCAGGACAGGCCTGGAGAAAAGCTTACTGATTGAACAGGCACCCGGTTACAGGAGTCCTACCTGAGTAAGTACGATGTGACCCGGCAGCTATGGAGGTGGCTATTTACAGGGGCAGTCTTCCACCCTGGGGATCCCCAAAGGCAGGAATCCCAGCTTTCATGCAAGGCTTTTTGTGAGTTTAGTTGGTAGGTTTAGTTTTGGTGTCTTTCCATCCTGACCTACCAATCTTTCACCTTCCCTTGCTAGTATATTTTATTCATCATTTACTTCCATTGTCCTTTTACTGATTTGCATTTTTCTCATGTGATGTTACTTTTTAAAACATGGTCTCTTGGGGGTTGGGAAGGTGGCTCAGTGGTAGAGTGCTTGCCTTGCATGCCTGAGGCCCTGGGCTCGATTCCTCAGCACCACATAAGCAGAAAAAGCCAGATGTGGCACTGTGGCTCAAGTGGTAGAGCACTAGCCTTGAGCTGAGGGACAGTGCCCAGGCTCAGAGTTCAGGCCCCACGACCAGACCCAAACAACAACAACAACAACAACAACATAAAACATGGTCTTCTGCTTAGAACTCCACACCTTTTAGTAAGATCGAAATTTGGGTCATTTTGTGTTATTTCAAGTGAAAGAATGTTTTTCTGAGCACTGCTTATCTAACAAATCCTGCCCGTACTATTCATCTCTTTGCATCTCTTTTCTTACATTGTCTTCCTCCCCTCTCACCCTAGAATTCTTACTTCAGTTATCCTAGACCTCATCCCATCTCAGGGCCTTTTTGAACCAGATGATTTTGGAGTCATTCCAGTTCTCCTATTCGGTGATTCTGACATATTTTTTACTCTATGTTTCTTTTCTAAAATCAGTAAGTAAATAAAGCCTGTTTTGGTCATACTGAGATGTTCATATTTTCAACCTTAATTTTTTATCTCATTTTTAAATTTATTTACTTTTTGTTGGTCAAGGGGTGCTGTCCCTCAGCTCTTCAGCTCAAGGCTAATGCTCTACCCGTTGAGCCACAGCACCACTTCACTGCCTGGGCTGGCTTTGAACCATGATCCTCAGATATCAGCATTCTTAAGAGCTAGAATTATAGGTGTGAGCCATTGGTACCCAGCTAATTTTTTATTTTACTTTTGGGTGAGAGAAAAATCACTTATTAAGACCACCACAGACAACCCACAACACACATACTAGAAAACCTTTTTATACTGTTTTTAAAATGAGAGGTTACTAATATTTTTTTCACAGCTTCACAATCATTCCTGTAAATAATTACAAATTAAAAGGCCCACATTAAGACAGTGAAGGGCTAGGCACATTGACTCGTGCCTGTAATCTCAGCTACTGGGGAGGTGGAGATCAGGAGGATCACAGTTCAAAGCCAACCTCTGACCAAAAAAAAAAAAAGTCTGGCAAAAAAAAAAGCTGGTGTGGAAATACATGTCTGTAATTCCAGCTGTGAGAGTGGCCATAGGTTAACAGACTAATGTCCACGGTTGGCCCCTGGAGAAAATAGGAGTCCTTACAAAAACAAAACAAAACAAAAAAACTAAAGAGCCAGGCGCTGGTGGCTCACACCTGTAATCCTAGCTACACAGGAGTCCGAGATCTGAGGAGAGTGGCTTGAAGCTAGCCTGGGCAGGAAAGTCCATGAGACTTAATCTTTGATTAACCACCAAAAAGCCAGGAGGGCTGTGGCTCAAGTGGTAGAGCATCAGCCTTAGGTGAAGAGGCTGCAGGACAGTGCTCAGGCCCTGAATTCAAGTCCTAGTACCCTCTCCAAAAAAGAAAAAAAAAATTCTGGCAGAGCAAGATGTTACTCTTGCTTCCCTTCTCCCTGTGTCCTTCTGAGTGCCTGGCTCCAAGCCTTTGCCTTACTGTGGCCTGGTTAGAGATTTGCCACCCTTGGGTAGGTTCTTTATTAGGGTGAACAACATCTACTTCTTACACTGTGACCGCCGTTTCCCTAGCTTCTCTCTGTGAACCCTGATTTATTACACAGTCCGGTGAGCTATGCTTCTAGTGATAGGCAACCTTTCAAAAGGTAATGTGTTAAAAAAAAATTAAAAAGATAGTGTGCTAAAAATAAAAGATTTTTAAAAACAGTTTACTTAGTTCCAATTTACTTATTTCAATATTTGTTTATTTCCAATTTACTTATTTTCCAAATCATTTTCAATAGGTGGCAGTGTTGCTCTTTCATTGGTTTTTCATCTGTGAAAGGTTTGTTTTCTTTAAAATTGTTATTATAAAGTTGATATACAGAGGGGTTACAGGTACCTAAGTCAGGTAATGAATACATTTCTTTTTGGACAGTGTCACCCCTTCCCTCACTCTCTCTTGGTTTTGGTTTTGTTTGAATTAATATAGCTTCGGAAGGAGAGATCCCTAAAATGTGTTCTTTTGATTCAATTTGAGTGTTTCGTTTCAGGCAATGGCCAAGAGCAGTAAGTCCATTAGGCAGACTAAAAATTGAATAAATCTTTAATATTCTAGTATTGAAAGTATTTTAATTACATTCTACATGCTTATGAAATGTCATTAAATTTAGTAAGTAAAAATGAAAGAATATGTATATTTTAGATGGGAATTACATACTATTACACACACACACACACACACACAGTTCCACACGCATCTATGGGGTCACATTGTTTCTATTATTCTGCAACCTACATCTGCTTTTTTCCACTGTGTATGACTTCCACATCTATATGTAGGTTCTTCTTCTTACTTACAGGGTTTATAACATTTACATTCTGTTCTAGAACTGTAGACATCTGAATACTTCAACCCTAATAAAAATAGCATTCACCATACTGTGTTTACATAAACATAGTTCCTACAGGAAAACTGTGATCAGCTGTGCAGAGGAAGAGGAAAATTCCAGCTATTTAACCCTTGGCACACAGCTGTCTTTTCAGTTTTACGTCCTTCACTTTTCCTCACTTTTTTTTTAAAAATTTGTTTTTAATTTCATATTTTGCCTCTTTGTTTTTGCTTTGTGATACTGGGGATGAAACCAGTGCTTTGTCCATACTGGGCAAATGCTCTGCCACTGAGTATAACTCTAGTCCCTAATCTCATTTTCTTGAAATTTCATTCTTATATGCCTTCTATTTTTCCCAAGTACTTCTTGGAGTAATTTGTAAGTTTGAGTGCACACATGACAAAATTTTCTCGCATAGCTGATGGCTGGCAAATTCATATTCAAACATATTTTAGGCCCCAAATTCATATTCCTTTGGCATTCTAAAGGCATGGTTTTAGAGAATTTCTGATAAGAAGTCTTATGCTAGTCTGATTCTCCTTCTCAGATGACCCTTTTTTCTTTCTTTCTGGAAACTTCTAAGACTTTCTCATTGTTCTTAGGTTTCTGAAGTTTCTACCATGAGTATTTATCTAGGTATGGGTCTTATTTCCATTTGTCCTGTTCAGTATCTGTTAGGCTCTTAAAATCTGAAGACTTGTGTTTTTTCCAGACTTGGAAGTTTTTCTGTCATATCTTTGATTTTCGTTTGCCTCCGACTTGTTCCATCCTTCTAAAACTCCTGTTGCATTGAGAGATGTTGTCCTCGTGTGTCTTTTCTCCACCCCCTGGCTTTGCTTCCATGTTTCCCGTTTTGTCTCTTCCATATGTTCTCAGAGATATCTTCGACGACGTCCAGATAATGGGTCTACTTCACTGTCTTACCATTCCTTTATTCATTCTGTTTCTTGGATTTAAAAGTTTGTAAGCCTCCTTTTAAATTTCTAGAAATTATATCTTCTAAAGCTTTTTCTTTTTTCTTAATGGCAGGTATCTCTCACGTTCTCTCAAATCTCTCCAAAGACACTTGATTTAAAAAAAAAAGTATTTTCTGCTGTCTGCTTTTCTTCAGTAATGGCTTGTTCTGTTTTTGTTTCTTTGTTCAGCTCTTCATACTGTCAATTTTCCTCAAATGTGTGGTAACCTATAGGGTGTCTGGATACTTTCATAAATGAAGGCTTCAGCGAGAATCTGGTATGGCTTGTTTCCTAAGAAGCCCCTCCTGAAAGGCAAGACTAGCCCCAAGTTCAAAGTCATGGGCCATGTTAGCAGGTGTGGCTCCAGCCTGCAAACAGCATCCTCGGGATGCCCACACTTGCAAATGTAAGCAGGGCTTGTGCACTCTGCTGTGTTTTCTCACTGGGGATAAGTTTTCCCCATCCCTCCTACCCCTAACTTGCTGGACATGACTGGTGTGGAGATTTTGAACACCCAAAGTCTTGATCTGCTTTTCTCTTAAGTTCTAACACACATTCTAGGATCCTTTCCTAGATAAATCACCCACTTTTAAAAAGAGATTTTTAAAAATTGTTACTATAAAGGTGATATACAGAGAAGTTACTATTACATAAGTCAGGTAATAAGATTTCTTTTTGGACAGTGTCACCCCTTCTCTTGCTCTCTTACTTTTTTTTTTTTAAAGAATAATTCTGAGCTGGGTGCTAGTGGTTAATGCCTCTAATTTTAGCTACTCAGGAAGCTAAGATCTGAATATCACAGTTGGAAGCCAGAATGAGCAGTAAAGTCTGACCCTTATCTTTAACTAACCTCTAAAAAGCTGGAATTAGAGCTATGGTTCAAGTAGTAGAGCACTAGCCTTGAGCAAAAAAAGCTCAGGGATAGCATCCAGGCCCTGGACTGACACAATAATAATAGCAATAATAAATAATAACAATAATAATTATAATTCTGAAGTCCTAATATCCCAAGCTACAAGATTTCTAATCCTAGTTGCTCTTTGTTGGTTGTGGATATGTAGACTGTGATGCAGGTCAGTTGCTGTGATGGTGGTGTCCCTGTGGACTGCTCTGACATTCTCTTGAGTGTGAGTTGCTTTGCTACTCCCCTCGAAGAAGAAAGCTCATAATTCTCGTGTTTGGAGCTGTAGTTTTCCTGTGTTCTTTCTTGTGTGCTTTCTAGCTTCCAGTACTTTTCTCAATAGATTTTCTGTCTTGTTTGCTAGCCCTCATATGATTTCATTCTTTCAATAATCCCTTTTATTTTATTCTCGTAGGTCCATGGTATAGTGGAAAAGTGGATGAGTGTGTTTAACTTGTGACTTCTAATCTAATGTATTTTGTTAACAACCTTTTCCTTAATTCATGTGGTTCAAAGGGCATAAGAAAGGTACACAAAATGAAGCATACTTTTTATCCTACTCTATGTAAAGATGACTCATTGTACTTTTTTTTTTTTTTTTTGGTGCTGATCCTGTGGCTTGAACTCAGGTCCTGGGTGCTGTCCTTGAGCATGTATGATCAAGGCTAGTACTATACCATTTGAGCCACGGCTCTACTTCTGGCTTTTTTGATGGTTTATTGAAACTAAGAGTCTCGGGGGCTTTTCTATCTGGACTGGCTTTGAACAATAGTCCTCAGACTTTAGCCTCCTGAGTAGCTAGGATTATAGGTGTGAGCCTCTAGCACCTGGACTCTTATATTTGTACAGCTCTTCTTCCTTTAGAAATAAAGATCCAAAGTTTATTTGGGCTCCCAAGCTGCTCAGGTAAGGAGGACACTTCCTAGGTTTGTCCATGTGATTAAGATGTGGCCAGTGATAGGTAAGTAGAAGCACTATGTTTCATGCTTCAGAGACTCCCCTAGAGGTGTGGCTATGCCTTGTCCTTTCTTTACCCTCCTCCTTGACTAGTTGGGCTGGGGATATGGAGGTGAGCCATCCTCATGTAGGCAGAGGACAACACAAATTCTGTATGGATGCAGAGCAACAAAGTGGAACCTGGGCCCTGGCACTTGTCACCATTATTCCTGCCTTGTTTAGTGAGAGAGGAGGGAAATGCCTTCCTCCTCCTCTTCTTCCTCCTCCACTTCCCCCTCCTCCTTCTCCCAGTCCTGGGGCTTGAACTCGGCCTGGGCACTGTCCCTGAGCCTCTTTGTGCTCAAGGTTAGTGCTCTACCACTTGAGCCACAGTACTACTTCCAGCATTTTCTGAGTGTTTTTTTGGAAATAAGAGTCTCACAGACTTTTCTGCCCAGGCTGACTTCAAATCGCAATCCTCAGATCTCAGCTCTGGAGTAGCTAGGATTACAGGCATGAGCTGCCATTGCCCAGTTTGCCATCTTCTTGAAGTCTTGTATTTGGGGGGTCACTTCTCATAACAGCCTGTATGGTCTTAACTGATACAGTAGTCTCAGCTCTAATACAGTAGTCCCAACTCTCTTTCCTGGATGCAACCGTGTGAACACGTTGCTGGATCCATCCAGGAATAGTTCATGTATAACTCATTCAGCACACGCACCCACGAATGAATGCATGCAAACATACATAAACGCACATGCATACCTATAGACCCTTTGCCTTTACAGAAATAAGGCTGCAATAAACAGCTATTTCTTAAAGAGGTCAGGCTCTGTCTTCTTTATGTTGACAGGCTATATATCCTCAAACCCCCAAACTCTGCAGCTGAATGGTTCTCCTCCCTCCCTACTGGAACATGTTCTGCTGGGGACTCATTTTTCTTTTCCTTTATAAAAAAAGAGTGGCAGAATGGTCCCAGCCATAGAGAATAACGCCTCTGTGAGGAGTTCGTTGACTTATTTGTGAGTGAACCTTTCTGGGATCTTTGGATGACAGAGTGACAGGGATTGGCATGTGTATGTGGGGGGGGGGGGGAAGGGGGGGATCTAGGTGGATTCCCAGGGGACCTATTCCTATAACCCAGCCGTGGTGCTGCTCAGGAAAGGAAGCAGTTGTGCCTGGGCCCCTGGCCTTCCTCTCCTCTCCCTGCTGCCACAGTTCCATGCTGGGTTTAGGACCCTGGCCTGCTCCGTGAGGTAAGGTCCTGGAGGTTGGACAGTGTCCACTCAGGTTGGCCTGAAAGGCATCAGGAGCCATCAGAGCTCAAATTGCTGCTCTACAGGGGCTTTCCTATGGCTCCTTTTCCTTCATAGAAAGCCAAGTTTGCCTGTCCCTGGTTTTCCTTATTTCCCAAGGTGATACTATCTCAGAATCCAATTAAATTTTCCCTCTGTTGATGGGATGAAGCAGTTTGAGCTAATGTCCCCTTGATTGAGAGCTGGCTTTCCTAACAGACTGGTAGGAAATGACCCCTCAGTTCTATAGGGGGTGTACCCACAAAAGCTTTCACTTACGAACCCAGAAAGCACCACTGGGATTTTTCTCAGTCCTTATTCTGATCACTGAAGGGTTAAACACGTGCAGGCTCTGCTGTCCTCAGGGGTGCCAGCTGGTACGCCAAGGCCATTAATCATCTGGACTGGGGCTGCCTCAGCCACACTTACAGCAATTAACCCAAGGTAGAGGCAGTATTGTTACCGCCCCATACCCTCTTTTGCACACCCAATTACTCAAAATTAACATTTACCAAGCAAAGTGCCTGTTAATTGGAAGGGCAGTCAAAAGAAAGGCCACACACCTAACAGTCTAACTTAATAATCTCAAAAGCAGCCATTAATTAACAAGAGAACATTTCCATTCAGATCTTGTTTAGAGAGTTATCTCTGTGTCTGGGTTTCTGAGCTCAGCTGTGCACGCCAGCCGCCTTCCAGAGCACCTTGCTAACAACTCAGATGACTGGAGAGAGGAGGGAAAAAAAGCCCCACTCATCAATAAAACTTCCCTTTGAAGAATGCACCCCCCGCCCCGCTCCCCCCCCCGCAGTCAGGGGCCTAAGGGATTCCAGGAGATCATCTATTGCTTAGATGGGGAAACAGGAGCAGACGCAAAGGAAGATAGTGGCCTAGGGTCAAGGGTTCCATACTAGCAGTGGCCTCCCTGACCTGGTTCTTGCGTTGCTATGGCCATGTGCACACAAGTTCCATGGTGCACGATGCCAACCAGTTTTACCAGCTGTCATGAAGCGGAGTGAAGCTCAAGAGGCCTTTGAGATGGGGTGGGGGTTGGGGAATGGGGGGAGGAAAAGGATCTGCTCTGCAAGGGTCTTCAAATTAGCTCCCATCTTCCCTTCCAACCTGTAAATTGAATTGGCAGCTACACCCCAGTCTAGAGAGTCCTGGAAGACATGCCTTCCTGTCTTCCTTACTCTTACTTGTCAGCCTTGACCCATCTCCTTCACCCACAAGGCCTGCCCACTATATCCTGGGCATCACTTCAACCTAGCTCTTCCTTTCCTGTGCACATTCATGGTCCCCTGTCTAGCTCGTCCTCCAGCCATCTGCCCCTGGCTGGTTCTTTCTCAGCTTCCATTCTCTTACAACACCTCTCCTCTCCTCTCTCTGTGTAGGAAGCGTGGCTGTCCTCCTTCCTCCCTCTGGAACTCCACTTGCTCTGTGGAAGGCCTGTCACCCTTCAGCTAGTGATAGAGGTAGCCTGAGGCCCTCTCTTGGGCCCTGAGCCTCCTCAGAGCATTGTTCCTTCTCTCTCTCCCTTAGTGTCTCAGGTCCTCTCTGCACCAGTGACTCCCATTCAAGACAGCACAGCTAGCCGGGTGCTGTGGCCCACCTGCCCCTACCAGCTACTGGAGAAGTAGAGATGGGATGATCACTTGAACCCCTAAATCAGAGGCCAGTCAGAACTATGTAGCAAGACTCCCATCTCAAACAAAACAACAAACTAAAACAACCTTCCAAAGATGAAGCAGTGGCCATCACTTTCTCTCCTTCCCTCAAGTAGACATTATGCTATTGCCTCTTGTTACCGCCCTCCCACTCTCAAATCCCCATCCCCTACCTTCTGACTGCCCTGGTCATGTGGAACTTCCTTGTCATGACACCCAGGAACATAGTCTAGGTTTTGTTGTTGTTGTTTTTAGTATTATCCTCCCTCCTTTCCTCCCTTCTTCCTGAAACTAACCCTCACACCACTTCCTAATGCCCTTCTTGTGTTTGCAGACGTTTCTTTCTTTTCCTCCCAGGATGTCTGTGCCGAGTTCCTTCTCATCCACTCAGTGGCTTCCATTACCAGCTAGATGAGAAGGCCATCAAGACAACTAGACCACAGTCTCCAGGATGATGCTCACATCTCCTTTCTGAGTTCTGACCTGACTCCTGAGCATTAGAAAGCATCTCACCTGGGAGTCTTGAAGCGTTTTCTACTCACTGTGTTCTAGGCAAGCTCATCACCTTCCCCTGGTTCTGCTTTCCCTCCAGGTTTGCCACATCAATGAAAGTATCTCAGCCCTGCTCCAACTCATGTCCAATTGGTCAGTTAACTTCAAGCCCCACACATTGACCTCCAGTAAGACTCCCCACTGCCATGAGTTTGGCTGTGTCAAGTTCTAGGCATACTTCTTGCCGGCAGAGTGATCCTAATAAACCTGGGGGTTTTTTGTGTGCTTGTTTGTTTTTTTTGTGGCTTTTTCTTTTCTACAGTGTGTGTGTGTGTGTGTGTGTGTGTGTGTGTGTGTGTGTGTGTGTGTGTAAGTACTGGGGCTTGAACTCAAGGTCTGGGCACAGTCTCATAACTTTATTTGTCCAAGGCTTGTACCACTTGGTGATTAATTGGTGATAAAAGTCTCATGGATTTTCTTGACTGGGATGGGTTTACTGTGTGATCCTCAGATCTCAGCCTTCTGCATAGCTAGGATTATAGTCATGAGCCACCAGCATCAAGTCATTAAGCCACCTGGCTTAAACCTGGTTTTTAAATCGTCACCCCATTGACTGGCATAGCATTGGCTCCTTGATCAGATTCTGTTGAGTCCTCCATATCATGCCAGTGTGACATACTGGGAAATTCCTGGAGTAGTATGAAGGTCCTAATCTCAGCCTCAGTTTTCTTTTAAAAATTAAGACGAGGCCAGGCACCAGTGGCTCACACCTATAATTCTAGTTACTCAGGAGGCTGAGAGCTGAGGATCGATGTTCAAAGCCAGCATGGGCAGGAAAGTCCATGAGACTCTTATCTCCAATAAACTACTCAGAAAAAAAACTAGAAGTGGTGCTGTGGCTCAACATGGTGTAGAGTATTAACCTTGAGCGAAAGAGCTCAGGGACAGCATGGAGGCCCTGAGTTCAAGCCCGTTGATGGACAAAATAAAATAAAATAAGCATACCGCTGATAATATTTGACATCCCCATTTTTGTGCTGTCACTAGGGCTTGAACTCAGGGTCTGGCACTGTCCTTGTACTATTTAGCTCAAGACTAGTCTTCTACCACTTAAGCCACAGCTCCACTTTTGACTTTTTTTTTCTTTTGGTGAATAATTGGAGATAAGAATGTCACAGGTTTTCCTATATGGGCTGGCTTCAAACCACGAACCTCAGATCTCAGCCTCCTGAGTAACTAGGATTATAGGCGTAGCCACCAGCACCCATCTTAATATCCTTTTCCTAAATAGTGTAACATTTCCATGAGGTGCTCTTATGCCCATTGTATAGCTAGGGAAAGCTGAGTATTACAACATCCTTGTTCACAAATACAGTCAGGCATCATGGATGACATTTCAGCCAGTGACAGATCAAATACAGGACAGTGATTTCCTGGGATTATGTTGCCTAGTGAGTTCATATCCATCTTAATTTAAATGCATGATACTTTCATAATGATGACATCACCTCACAATGAATTCCTCAGAACTGATCTCTATCCTTAAGCACCATCTGACTGGTTAAAGCAGGATTCAAACTCAAGTCTCACATTTCCTATGCTCTTGCCTTGATCCCGAATGGGAGATCAGAGGTGAGAGATTCCAGTGACTCAGAGGCCACTCTGCGCAGACCATAGGCCTAAGAGCCCCTCTCATATTGCAAAGGTCTTTTCCTCGGGACCATGGTGTCCCTGAGTTCTGGGTCAGAGAACACCCACCCCATCTCTGTTACAGATGGGACAGATGTCAGATGTGTAAAGGATCAATCGCCATCTGCCCAGGCTCCCCTTGACAAGCTGATCTTTCTAGTAAACATCTCATTAGCTCCTGCCAGGCTGCAGCACCTGCTGACAGGACTGTGAGTTGAGGGGAGGGGCCCTCAGCTTTAGAGAATGGCTCTAATCTCTCTGGGGTCTTTGGTGCCCTTGGAGCCAGCTAAACTCAGCTGGAATATACCTTGTATGCACTGAAGGAATCCACATCAAACTTCAAGGTTTGAGTAAATTCTGGAGACATATTCTTTTTGTTTCCTCTAGGTTTTGTTCATGACCCACCATCTAAAGATGACCTCCCCACATCCATTCCCTGGTAAGTTGTTGTTTTTGGGGCTTGAACTCTGGGCCTAGGTGCTTACCCTGTGCTCTTCAGCTCAAGGTGAGTGCTCTACCACTTGAGCCACAGAGCCACTTCTGGTTTTCTAGTAGTTTATTGGAGATAAGAGTCTCAGGGACTTTCCTGCCCAGGCTGGCTTTGAACCATGATCCTCAGCTCTCAGCCTCTTGAGTAGCTAGCATTACAGGCGTGAGCCACCAGTGCCTGGCTCCATGGTAAGATTTTATAGCTTCGGCTTTTCCCCCACTAATGATAATGCCTGCTGTATTGCCCAAAGTGTGAGTAGGTACAGTCACACTTCCCCATTCTACAGGAGAGCGAGAGACTCTGAAGGTTCATTAGAGGAGTCAGGGTTTGAATCTAGGCATATCTCACTCTAAAACCTCAATCCTTACCTTCCATGTTGGTCATCCTAACATTACTGGGACAAAATCCAGTAGATCCCTTGGATCCATGGACAGACACATGGTTACAAGGCCTTTGAGAAACATGTGGATCTCAGGATGCACAGAGTTCAGCTTTCTAAAATCAACCCAGTTTTCCTATACTGTATGCACAGTAGTTCTGAGCATCCAGAGCTCAAATGGAATGAGCTACGTTACCGTCACAGAAACTACACATGGATACTACTCACCGAGAACCAGAGCTTATCTCAAGTTCTTTATCTCAAGTATTGTGAATGCATGAGTCATTTTTTCCCAGAGTGACACCCAACTTCCGATAAAGACAATCCATCTTTCAACAATCTAAATCTTTCACTTTGCCATTTTAATTAAGCACATCCACTTTGACCATGCTTACTGGATGCCATCTGCTTTTTGGAAAGGCAGATTTTTCACAAAATGGATCATACACTGATGTAAACAGAAGGAGTGATAACGAGAGACTTGAGTTTCTCCACACCAACTGGGTTGTGTAATGTGCACATTTTTGTTTTTGCAATCGCTTTCTACCTTTTTTTTTTTTTTTAATCATACTTGATCAAAAACTCATGTAAATCCACAAGTGAGCTGGGCTTATTGGTAACACAACTTAAGGGAGGGAAGGTTCTGACTCATGGTTTCAGACCATGGCCAGCTGGTTCCATGGCTTGGGGAGGCCTGGCTGGGGCAGAGCATCGTGGCAGAGAGTGTGGATAGAGAGGCTGTCCACCTCATGTTGGCTGCAAAGCAAACACAGAGAAAGACATCAGGGTTCCAGTTCTGCCTCCGATTCTGCACTTCCTCCAATGATCTAATTTCCTCCCCCTGGGCCCCTTCTTGGGAAAAGTTCCATCACATCAAATCAACATCATTGTGAAGGCTGAACCTTAATGAAGCTTGTGGGCCTTTGGGGTGTGCTTGGGCAAACTGGATTGCCCAAACTTCAGCATCCGCCTTGACCATATTTACAGTTTGTGAACTTACTTGACTAACGTCTGGCTTTCCTAGCCAAATTTTGAGCTCTACAAAAAAGGACTGTAACACAACCCCAATACAATGAGATTTCTTTTTGTAAGAAAGTGATACAAGGTTATTATACATGAGTTTATTCAAGCCTTTATTGCTCCCAGGCTGGTTTTTGTTGTTGCTGGGAGAAACTGTTTGCTTTTGCTATGTAAATCTCTCATTTCCCAAACTACCTCCCTGAACCCAACCTACTATAAGTGATCTCACATCAGCCTAGAAAGCATCCTGACACAGGCCTATAACTCCCATGGCATGGTTCCTTTTGGATGCTTTCCAGGCAGAGAAAAGGGAAATAGTGACATCCTGCCAAGAGGTGACTTCATGCTAATTGGGGTGAACCTGGAAAGGGGCAGCTGCTGCTGCTGTTGACAGACAGAAATGTGGCTTCCTGGTACCAACCTTCACTTCCTGTATTGCTGGGAGAGGAACAGCCTGAACTCCTACTGTCTGACCAGAAGGCCTTTGGCTTGGAACCAGTGAACTCAGTCTCTACTACCATGCAATGGGAAGATAAATAGAGAACACTGAGGAGATAACTGAAACCACCCATCATCCCACCGAGACAACAAGGTTCAATATGCTGCATGGTAGTTGAAAGTTTCCTGTCTTCTCTGTGCCACACAGTACTTGCACACAAAGAAAGGCAAATGTACTGGGTATGGGGTTCTGTAGCCAGTTATTCTCACAGAGCCAAGTATGGTGACTTTATTTCCATATTAATGCCAGCAGGCATGTTGCATTGGTAGTGGCTCTGTGACATTGTAGCATTCGTATGGTAAGTGCTTTATTTACTTCATCATCTATTGATGGGTGCTGTTCAGTGCTTTCTCCTGTTTAAAGAGTTCTGCCTGGGACACCCTGTGTCTATTCTTGTGTCTTCACTTGCATTCTCACCCCCTAAAGCAAGCTTTGTTAACAGTAACCCCACTATTTTGGACCAATAATTGTTATTCTGAGGGACCATCCTGGGTGTGGGTCCATGGTCAGCCCCTACCCACTATATACAAGTGCCATGCTGCTCTGATGTAATAACAATGTCTATTGACTGCCACATGTCCCCTGGGTAGCAAAATTGCCTCTGCCTGTAAACATTTGTCCTAAGGGTAAAAGGTCTCAAGGTAAAATTAACACTTGTTAATGTTAAGATTTTGACTGAACCAATTTGATTTGTTGCTTCATATTCCAAACAACTGTAGATGTGGCCAATTTAAGGCAAAAAGAAGCCAAGGTACCAGTATTTCAGGCCTGTAATCCATAGCTGCTTGCATGAGAAAAAGTATTCTTTTCTGTCAAACTAAAGTGTATTTGGTATTGTGTGTTGTTATATCCTGGAACTATTTGCTTTATTTACTTTAATTGGAACTATTATTTGTGCTGCTTGTTATCCACTAGCCATGTTAGGGAGATACATCATCTGTTGAAGATGTGGTAAAATCCTAAGTGGAAAAAAAGCAGAACTTTCTATAGGAATTAAGGAATGGCCCCGTTTCTAACCTTACTGTACCTACTTTCTAACCTTACTGTACTGTATGTAGACGGAGCCTCACTTCTTGACAAGGAGGAGGGACACTTTGGATTGAGATAAAAGCCTAGCAAACTGCCCTGCACAGTGCGCTTGCCTAGCTCTGGGGAAAGGAA